TTTAATAAGTTAATATGTGTGCTAGAAATGAGAAAGCTCATTTTCTACCAAAAGTGATTCTAAACTTAAAGAAGCTTTTCTAAATGTTTACTGCATATTGCATAAATTCCGCTGCATTTCCCCCTGATAAGCCGCAACGGCAGGTAATATCCGTGTTAATGCGTGAGTGCGAAATGAATCTCAATGAACGAATTTTAGTACAATCGTATAAAAACAACTGTCGAATTAACGGGCGCGTCCTCCAACATTTCGTGTGACTTATATGTAGCTAGCTGTAAGCACTGTCTGAAATTATTGAAAATAATCTCCACTAAACAATGCAGACATTGCTATATATATACAACACGAATGGATAGTTTGCTACAGTAGGGTAAAGGACTATAGGAAAGGGCTGTTATTCACGTGTCTCTGCGAAAGGTCCTTTGAGTTGCCAGGGAGACGGCGCGCTCGTCTTTGAAGGGCAAAAGGAAATGATTCCTGTGTGCGCGTTTTACGAGTCAAACGCATAGCGCTTTATTGGACCGATGATAAGACAAGACCAGTCAGTCGGGTGTACCCACCTTCGATTGACTTATAATTATATAAAAAGGAAAGGCTAGTGATTCTAATCACTATATCTGTGTCAATTTGGGTAGCATAGAAATAACAACTGCTTACTAAAAACTGGGTCTATAAAGTGGCTAACAGCTTTGCAAATGTATAAACGGTAATTCAAAATACAATGACATGCAATGAATACATAAACTACATACCCATCACCTCTTTAACCAGTAAATTTAAAATGAACTTAAATTAGTTCAAAACAACTTAAAAACGCACGTACGGAAAAGCTTATCAATGAATCAAGAATACACATATGTTACTTACAAGAGTTCGTCTTGCAGCTGACTTTGTGTGAAATTCATCGGATGATTGATCACGGATATTCCATAGTCGGCCGGATCTTCACCTGGTGGAAGATGCGCTCTCAATAGGATATTGTTCAAGGCGTTCATGTAGGCCACGGAAGAAGCCCAGCCCTTATTGTTGAACCTGTAATAATAAAAAAATAGCAACGTACAGACAATTGGCAGGTGCAGCCATCTGAGACCGTAAAGCATATTCAGTTAACTTCAACGCAATATCGCGTTGACGGTCGATAAAATTATTATTGAGAAATTATAATGTCTAGTACAGAAAGAATACTAAAGCCGGTGGCGACCTCTAAACACAGGCCTTCGGCAACAGGTTTTTCAACCGCAGGGATCGAATCGATCATTAATCGTTAGCTAGTTACAATATGAACGTACGCGAGCATACCGACTTTAACTTTCCAAAAAATACGGACACCTCATCAGTGCCGCTATCACATTCATATCGGCTAGAATATACTGCACGATCTTGTCGAAAATGGAAGTTGAAGTAATGAAAATAATCATAGCAATATTCACCAGACTTTAGCGTTGTTGAGCACCTGTGTGCTTGTGATCCTTTGAGCAAGAATGTCAAACGTAGCGTGCGAATCCAATCCGCTCATTTCGGACATTCGCTCGACGAGTAACTGTAAAACCGTATAATTAAGCGAAACCACAGGATTCTTAACGCCGAACTGGAAGCCACCATAACGTCTTTTGTGATATTGTTTCCAGGTTTTCACAATCCAGTCGGATATGTTTCGTCCAGTCATATTGAGTAGGACATCTGTTGTAGGTGTAATGAGCGAGGGAGGGGCCGGTGGTTCGTGGGGGCATTTGAGAGTGCCCACGGAACAATCGCACGTCTCAACATGGTTGGCAGCCACAAGGTCGTACGGCTCTGCTAAGGTCGATGTGTTGGTCAACAAGTCAGACCTACACTGCATGTCCCTATCATTTCGTTAGCAGGACACAAGATAGACAAAGTTATTTAGGACAAACTTGTTATATATGCATAAATGTATTATTTTTTTCAGTTGCTTTTTGTTATAGTGCGAACGACACAAAATCAATTTCACTAAATGTAACCCATAAACAAAAAATACAGCATACACACATGCCCCTGTGTGAATTTACTACTATTTGGATACTTCGATACGTAAACATGTTCTTGAATATTGTCTAAACCATCTTATTTCAGACGTTTCCTGTGATTTACTGAAATGGCTACGAATAATTAACCGGTCAAACACCGTTTTCGACATTATTTTTTTTAATAGGAAAGGTTTATAATAAAAGAAAAGCCATTTAGGTTGCGAGTGGATGTTACACTGTGCGTAAATGCTAACAGCAGCAGATTTATTCGACTTGGTTTTTGTTCCAAAAATTGAATCGTATATGAATTGCGTAGGTATACATGATAATTTGAATCAAGTGAGACAGTGGTACTTACTGTAGTCGGACGCTCTTCATGCAGCGGATCCCTAGTCCAGGTTTTGACAGTAGCGTGTCCACATATTTCTCATTCAGAGGATCCATGTTGTCTTCGTTGCTGGAGGAAAATATCGAAAATGGAATATATACTGATTACAGCGATGTTCCTAACTTTAACAGAAATAAGTTTCTTACTATCATGGCCTGATGCTGACAACGACAATTTTGTCTAAAGGCTTCAAAGTATGTTCGAAGTAGAGTCTTATGAGTAAAACAAATTGCTAGCTATCGTTTATATGAGTAGCGAACGGCTCCATATGTTCCAAAGAAATTCGTATAGCAGGTGAGGAGATTTTCGCGCTGACCTGCATATGTTGGTTGGCTAACCTTTTAGGCCAATAAGCAAATTAACTAAAAGGTATTGTCCGTCGGGGAATCGAACCCCGGTCTCCCGCGTGACAGGCGGGGATACTCACCACTATACTAACGAGGAGTACGACGTTAGCTCGAGTTAATTTGGCTTATATACACTTTAATGCAACGGTCTTTTTAAAATCGTTTTTGATTTTCCGTCCACAAGCAAAGCCGAATTTTAAATGAGATAAAATGATGAATCGTAGAAGGACTTCTTCAATCATAACAGTAACATAGCTTTTGTCTAGATTAACATCACTGTGATATCACTTGGCGCATAAAGAGCTCCTCCGGCAGAAATTGCTTTTTCGGAACAGTTCGACATAGTCTATAAAAGAACATTCATTCGACCCACTTTAGCATGATCAGAGATATTACCTAAATTATAAGGTCAAAATGCTAGAGGAGCTAGACTTATTCAGCGGGGAGCCAACAACTGTCGAGGCCCAGATAGCTCAGTCGGTAGAGCGTTAGGCTTTTAACCTAACGGTCCGGGGTTCGAGCCCCCGTCTGGGCGCTTCTGTTTTTTGGTGTTCCCCAAATTTTGCTTCTCTTATACTAGAAAATTGTTAACAGTCACATCAATCTTACATGGCGCGGAAAGATTACAACGCATATACAAAACTTTGTTTAGATACGTTTCAGATACACCTACGATCAAGCGGTGGATTGTCTTAAAGGGTTATCTATTATCTGACATTCATCAATCGACAATTTTTTTAAATATTAAATAAATATTAAATCCGTCCGAAGCCCTAGAGCGGTTCGTAAGGCCTGGGCAAATATACCTGAGATTGAAACAATGTATAGCTGCTAGCTGAAAGTCGACCTTCTAAACAAGTAAATCGCACTATCTTGAATTTCCCAGACGTCTTATCGATTAGAGTGCCAATAATTTAATCAAACTTTAAATTGACACGCAAATTTTTATAAACCCGGTTGTATATATTTCAAAACGTTAAGGAAACAAAATACGAAGTTCTCACGAACAGATCATAGAGGTCATTCATAGGGCACATATGCATAACGGGGCTGCCTTCTCTATAAAAAGCACTCAAGAGCCACTAAGCAAACGCGATTTGGCACGAAAAGCTTTAACGCCCCCGGGTGGGCTCGAACCACCAACCTTTCGGTTAACAGCCGAACGCGCTAGCCGATTGCGCCACGGAGGCCACGGGCGTGTAAAGTGCGGTGGATTAAAAAGTACTCGTCCTGCAGAACATCGCATTCCCCAGACACGAACCAAATTTTCACACGGGTGGTAGAACGGGCCGCACCATTAGTATCTATAACGTGCTAAATAACGCATATTTAGACTGAAGCAGAGCTAATAGCAACGTGTCGCAAACAGATGACTCAACTGTTGATTTAAATAAAAGAAAAATGGAACAAGAGAAAGGGTTAATTGTCCTTGAACATCGCAAAAAATGAACCGCCCCCGGGTGGGCTCGAACCACCAACCTTTCGGTTAACAGCCGAACGCGCTAGCCGATTGCGCCACGGAGGCAATGAGTGGCCACAGCGAACTCACCACGTCACACGAAAGCATACGTATTGTCGTGTTTCGCTCAGAAAAGTCAGTGCAACAGCGTAACAGTACAACTAGACTGATTGTGAACTCTCCGTACCGTAAATAAGAATTTATGCATATGATTTCAAGCAAACAACATGGACGTCAACCAGAAGGCAGGTGTGTAATCCACACCTTTTAGAACTGAGCTATGCTAAGACAAATAAAATGTCAAATTTTTTTTTTTGGTGCATGCCTAGGTGGGTCAGGTAGCTGTTTAGCACGATATATACATGCTAAAAAGCTTAACGACATAATTCTTTCAGAAAACGGCACTAGCAAAGTGCTGACCACCCGATTACGATACCTGCTTTCAGTTAGTATTAAATATGGTTCGTCATTGACGGCGATTTCAGAGAGAAATCTAAAATTTTTAATAGTTTAAAATTAAGAATTTGAAGATCTTCAGATCCTTGTAGGGTTGGATAGAATTATATTTTTATGTTGATAGAAAATCAGCATGAAGTAGGGCCGATTTTTGCTTGATATGTTCGAAGAAAAATAGGTCTTGACTGAATTTCGCTCATACACAAATGTCAACATTGTAATTAATCATAGAATATGGCCCACTGAGACACCGCAATTTCTTGTGAATAAAATCCCAGCTAGTAAAATCATCATGTAATACTTTTACTCATGTATCGCAATCCTTTTGAGTAATATATATAAATGGCAAATATAAAATTTGGAAATTTCTTTGTACTCACCTAAAGAAGACGTTGTTGGGTGGGCCGTATAGCCAGGGGAGGAGTTCTAACGAGGGCTCCTCGGACAGTGGCGGGATAAGTAGCGTGAACAAGAGGGCGAGAAAGACAAAAAATGCAGGCAGAATGATTTCGCAGAATAGCCCCTTTAGATTACGAGTATTTCGCTGCAACCGTCGACGATACATAGCCGCGAGCTGACGGCGATGTAGCAGCGCACCGATTACAACTTCCTTTGACACCGGTGCGGGTAGATCCACGTCTGGCCGGTGGCCTAAAAAGAAGATTAGATGTCAGAGGGAAAGACAAAAATTCGTGTGATGGCTAAGCGAAGCCCTATTAATCTAGCCCTTGTTGTTAACAGATTTAGTGTACAAACAGATTTTGAGACTAAACCTTCATCTTCGCAATACTTACCTTTTAAGAAAAGCTTTGCTCTACTATTTGGTTCGTTTGTACTCTAGCATTGTCTTAAAGTGTTCCAAGACCGCGTTCATTACGCTCTAGTGGCAGAAGGAAAGTTCTCTTCATGCGACCTATTCGCTAAACTTAGGTGTATTTTTATTTATATATTGAATTCTTTTTATTTACGCAATATGGGGAACACGGTCTCGGCCTTCCAAGCTTCGCTGGCGTAAAATGAGTTAAGTGCTAGCGTTTTAATAATAGTTAAGTTGCTCCAAACTTTATGTCTCGCCGGAAGTAATAGCTGAATGAACTACATTTTGTGTTTTGAGGAAGGCGGATTTCTGTTTTCGTGATCAGCTTCCCTTGGCGAAACGAAGATAAATTTGAATGTGTTGAGGGAAGTAAAACATAAGACTTAAATAGGTTTTCGTTGAACAGTCAAAAAGAAATGCAATGGGAGTGTTTGCCAGGACGCAGACGGTCAGATTATTCGGTGAACGAATGGTATAATAATCGATCCTTTATTTGCTATTGCGACTAGGATACAGCAGCAAATTATTATAACCAGACTGCAGAGGAGTGATCAGGAAATTGAAAGAACTCGGTTTCAGCTATAAAAACTGTGGTGCTAATAAACTATGTAATCACAACGATATCTTCCTGTTGCTGCTACGTAAGTGCTATCATTACTATTATTATCCTTATTATTAAGCTGTGTGTGACAAGCAGCACTTACTCATGAAGCTATCCTGTGTTAGGCGGCCGGTCTCCTCTGAGGTCTCGGCGTTGTCCTTGTAGTCCTTGTTGTGGAAGTTGCTCGACACCCGGTCGTCCTTACCGTCATGAAAAGCTCGGAAGAAGCCGGCCAGCTTTTGGCAGAACGGCGGCGCGGGATCGTACTCCTTGCACACTTGGTCCGTGCTCAGCGACTTTGCAGACTCGCCAACTTTTGTTACCTGTGAAAGAACGACATCATTCGGCAGCCTATAGTCAACCAATAAACAATAACAATAAATGATATATGTACACACCAATATCATGCTGGACCGATCTAATAATAGTGCTTCCTGTTGTTTGCGAGGAATATAAGTAGAACTTGCCTTAAGGAACACTTCCTCCAATGTAGTGTCCGACAGACCGTAACTGCTTACTCCTAACCTGTCTAGATTGGCGTCGAGTTCTCTACACAGTTTTTCAAACGATGAATATGTATCCGGGCAAGCAGGTAAACGGAACGACATTTCGACGCCGGTTGAACTCACAAGGGCAGCGCCCTCTATATGTCGACGAATCAAGACTTTGAGGTTTTCCACTGTTTGAAACACGAGGTCACATAGACAATGTTATAGAAAAGATATTGAAAGACGTTTCGTCATGACTGCCACGCGCACAAATATTCGTATCTCTGTGAATTCTGAGAATCATTTTTACGTACTTTCATTCTTCAAACCCCCCAAAAATCATTTCGACAATCTTCATCATGTGTCACATTCCTCCCGTGAATAACGTCTGCTGACCCTTAAATGATACTTGGAGTGTTGCGATATTATAGAGTCAAGCATAAACTTGAATTTTTGTCGTTAGTTACTGCTTACTGTTATCGTCATCTGTGCGACTCCCATTCGATCGGGTAATGGTCTGTTCCTCAACGCCTTTATGAGTGTTGTCATCGGGCGTTATCCTCGGAGACTTGGGCAGGTGTTTTGGCAGTTCCCGCACAAGAGTTAGATAATAGCCCGATCCGAAACGCGTTTTAAGAAACAAAGACGACCCGCAGCAGCGAAGTTGACCCTCGTTGATGACAGCGATTCGGTCTCCCAAGAGGTCGGCTTCGTCCATGTGGTGTGTGGTGAGAATTACCGTACGACCTGATAACCGCACAGAATTATTAGCTATGATCGATGAAGTAAGAAAATACAGTCCTCTTTTCCGTTATATATATATATATATATATATGCAGCATATAATATCACTGAAACACCAACCAGCTTTGTACTTAAGTACGAGCTCCCAAATGCCTCTCCTCGCGTAGGGATCGACGCCGGCGGTCGGCTCATCGAGGATAACGGTCCTCGAGCCACCGACAAATGCGATGGCAATTGATAGCCTGCGTTGCATGCCCCCAGATAGTTTTCCTGAGTAGGCGTTTCGCTTGTTTGTCAGATTGAGATCTTTCAGAAACTCCTTCGCCTCCCTTTCTGCTTCTCGGGCCGAGCGGCCCTTCAGTTTCGCGTAGAAGTATAAGTGTTCAAACACAGTCAACCTAAATCAACAGTAACAACATAAAAATCGTCCGGTATACGAGCGAGTACATAATAACAGGATCGATCATAAATGATCAGATCTCTCTTTTTTTTTTTACCTGTTTAGTAGTTGAGCAATTACTTGACCAAGCTCTGTTCTGCTTCAAACGATGTAAAACTATCTAAAATGTTTCACAGGTGTCCTGTCAATAAACGATTGTCATTTTTATTCATGAAGATCTGGAAATTTCTGCAATGAAATTGAAAGCAAATCTTCTTTTTTTGAAGTTTATGGAAGATTGAAAGTTATAGGTTTTGATCTATTCACATATTGACTTTTTGTTTATTTGCTTCGAAATGCATCGCGAGAAGGTTTAGAGCAAAAGCAATGTGAAGACGTTGTTGTCGTCTTAAACGATTAGATTTGTTTGTCTAGCCGACTCCAGCCGTCAGTCCCGTCTATGTTTCAAGTTTTACATCTGGTATCGCCGCTAAGTGGCTATCAGTCCCCTAACGCGACAATCTCTGACGTATGATCTTGCTAGAGCAGTAGCCTATCGTAGCCTCATGGGTTGTCTTTATCAGCATGAATTTGTGGCGATAGTGAAGTGTATATTTAGAAAAAGTAGGGGATGCATAAAGCAGAGCTAAAATTGGGCAGAAGCGTCAACCCCTTCTGATTCCGCAGCGTCGGACATTGCCCCCCTTCCTTTGCAGCCCGTTGGATAGCGTCGGTCGTTTCCCGCCAGAAAGGGAAGGGAATATGCGCAGGCCGGAGCGCGAGAGATTGTGTACGCTTTTGGTATGTCTGCTTCTGTCGATGTAACCCATTAGTGTATGGGCCGAGACCAGTCAATAAAGTGACCAGTAAGGCCCAGCTATAGTAGGGTCCAGAGGCGTCTGGGTATTTATGCGCCAGCAGTGAGAAGACGGTCTCCAGCGAGTAGCAGAGATGCTCACACCTCTTCAGGGACGGTGATCTTTACTCCCTCCTGTCTTTTCCCCTTTTTTATCTGACGGCGCTCAGGAAGGCGGGTACTTTCAACCAGTCTCACCGTAAGCAGTAAGAAATGTGTCCGAAAGGGTTTGGGACACGCACGTAACAGCAGCGTCGTCGCGCCAAGGGCGCAAAAGGACGTATTTTGCAGTAAAGGTAGAAAGAAGAAAAATATAAAAACGCCGCTCTCAGTGTAATTACTTAACGCAATACCCACATATCCGCCTTGACCTATCAGTTCAAAAGATCTTATAGCTTCAATCTTCGGCAGCGGGAATATTAATATTGTATTGCGACAACCGTTGTATCGCGCATGACCTTGCGTTCTATTAGACTGAGGAACATAGAGAACTGACAGTTCAAAAGGTAAGCGTCTTTAGAGAGGGAAGAGAAATGATGATTTTCTAAAGAAAGGCTGCTATGTCTGGTCTCCGGTATCAGACCGTGCATAAATAATTAAGAGTTAAACACTAGGTAATGTCGTAACATAAGCTTGATAGTTTCATTGTTATTACCCAGTGTAATGCGATGTTTAGATCTGTGCCGGCGACGTAGCAAACGGGCGAAAAGTTTGGCAAAGCGAAAAAAGTGGATAATCAAATTCTGTAATTCGCATAATAATATAAATATGATAAGTTAGGAAATTTCTCGACGTTAACTGCCTGTTTGTTTATTATTCATTGTTATAACTTACTCGTCGAAAAGTACATTGTGTTGTGGGCAAACGCCGAGGGAACGACGAATAGTATCCATGTCTTCCCGGATGTCCTGGGCATAGATTTTAGCTGTACCCGATGTGGGCGGGTATAACCCAGTCAGAATCGAACTGGAAGCAGACGATAGAGACTAACTTGATCACACGTCATTATCACAAGGAGGCTGCGCGCTTATAAATCGGGTTCTTTATGAGATTATTAATAGAATAAAAATTTCTACTTGGTTCAAACTAGCGCCAGGTAATAGGCGAATCCAAATGACCAACATGAACGATATGGAAAATGCGGTTAACTTTTAGCGAACTCACAGGCCCGTTGTTAGGTAATAACCTTCTCTTATAGGATTGCTTGTTATTTAAAGTTAGTGCAGGACAGTTTAGATTGTATCTTACTCACATAGTGGTAGTCTTTCCCGCTCCGTTATGTCCTAAAAATGATGTGATCTGATTTTCGTAGAAGTTCAGGCTGAGATTATTTACGGCGGCCTTTGTACAGCCGCTATAGGTTTTCGAGAGGTGGCGTATTGATACGCCGAGCGTTAGATCATTCGGCTCGTCCTCAAAATCTGGACCCGCTTGAGTGCCATTAGACGAAAGTGAGTCTTCGAGGCTTTCTTTAGATATATTAGGCTTTCCCGTCCAATAGCTTTTAGTCAAGAAGAAATACCAAGGTTTTGGCACTCCATATTGACCTGATCATGAGAAAACACTATTACGATCGTACAAGCGTTTACGTTTTTGAAATTAAATAAAAGTAAGGTTTGGCACAGTATTGATGCTCGATTTGGTTTTAAGGGTTTTGTGACTACTTAGCGGACAGCTAGCTTTTTCTGGTAAAGCTCTCTAGTAACTAGTGAACCACTATTAGACCATTGTGTTATTATTAAAATGAATGTTCTACATGTTAATATAATCATATTCTATATCATGTAGTCTACATCGTACAACCCGGAAAAGTGCAGTTATTACCTGGAAAAACCGCCTCGATATACCAGGCGAAAACAAAATAGAGAATTGAATCGAGCAGCAGCATGCCCATGACATGGGCAATGCTAAACTTGTCGGGGGGCATTGTGCTTTGGGCGAAGTTGGACCACTGTACTCCAGTACCCTCTTCTTCGAAATGTGCAAGATATGAACAGCCTGTAAAAAATTACTAGTATAAGAATTAGATAAGGTAGTGCGACGTTGCAGTTAGTATGTGAGCGCGTAAACTATGGTGATTATACCATGAGCAAATCTAAGTTAAGTGACTATTACTTCAATTTCTCTATCATGCTCTTACAAATTATACTTATTCGTATAACAACAATAAATAAACTATCGTCTGTATACCCGTGCAGTCGCAACTCTGAGCGGCTTATCCAAATATGTGAACGGTATATATGCCATACGTAATTCTTTCGATCAGATACGTTTGTTCCCTGTTTAGAATTGAAACACGCATCATACATGAAGTCGGTGAAGAGAGACCCTATATTGATATAAAAGTGATCAGTTAAGTGTTTTGGCTTTCCATAGATTAGCGCCACGACATGAAACGCACCGAGACCGAAAGCAACATTGGAGATGAGCGACACTACACCCTTCGCATGAATGTTAAATCGGTGCGTCCACAGTTTAACAAACGGATAAGGTAGGTAAAGTGTGAAGAACACGATACCCCCAGCGCAGGCGGCAATGTTGGCTCGCGAGAACCATGTCGTTACCATGAACGCCTTTGAGATGGTAGCACAAGCGAAGCACATAAGGAATAGTAGGATGATTACCGGATTCGAGTGTTCCAATATCTTGCCGAACTGCCGAAGAGAGAATACAATAAGAACACAAGCGTAAAATAAGACGATAATAGTAACGTTTCGTTAATAATTGGTTTGACGCATATAAAAGGATGGCCGTGATTCCTAACTTAGTTTTAAACCCATTGCGTTGTGTACATGCATGTCTAATAGTGACAGATGATGATGATTGTCATTATCATAAGAATTATTATTAAATTATATATTTTCCTTAATATTATCATTATGTATTTGCTATAGAATTTCAATTTAAACGTTTATTTTTATCTCTGTAGTGACATAATAATAGTGTGCGCGTAAATGCATGGCGGACAGATATTATTATATTATGGGCAGCGAGTCTCGGAGGTTGCGACGATTGCTATCGCTTAAATGGGCAATATCCCATCAAGACCAACGTTTCGCTTTTCGGCAAACCCAAGCCGCTCAACTGGTTTCAAATGCTTACGGAGAGGGAAAACTGTAAAAGAATGCTTTGGGGGGCCACCGTATTTCCCTATCTGCCGCTAAGTTCCCGGTTATGCAGACACCGAAACGCATTCTGGGTACATTCTGACCAGTTACATATGTACCGAATGTACGCACTGTTCTTGCCCTTTTCTTTACATGAAAAAAGTCCGCCATCCGAAAGTCGTTATCTGCCGAAAATGTATAATTGTAAAATGTTTGAATATCCCTAAAATATGGCTATTTTATATCTACACAATTCGATCATCAATATGATACATACCGACGACCAGTTCATACTTGGCATTAAGTGTTATTTACCTTTAATATAAGGGTCAAAAGTAAACTGGAGACAAACATAAACAGAAATGAGTTGATGAACCACGCAGTCCATAGAACGGAATTGCTGAGACCCATCACCTTCATCGCCTCCTTAAGGCGTAGCTCCTTCTCACGAACGATGCTTTTGATGATCATTGAAAAGGAATACACCCACGATAGGACCATGAACATAGGAAAAGACTCCGCTATTGTAACAATGAATCTGTAAATATATGTATCGCAAGTTAATTTTTGTTATTTGCGTATGCGTATGTATGCATTATAGGTTTGCGTATGTGAGAATTTTCTCAAATGTTATCTTTGCGACCACGTCACTATGTCTCTGAATGTAGCTCAAGAAGCGAGCAGAAAAAACATCGAGCATAACTTCGACCTTCGATAAAAGTCATTCAGAGTAAAAAGAATAAATGGATCGGGATCTTGCAACTCATAAGATCAAACCCCATATCAAAACGCCGTTGACGAAAATCCTTATTAAAAAGGTAACCAACCATATGGCTTCTCGTATGCCTGGTATCGTTGTGAACTGTTCAGTCTATGAGACTCGAATTGGCCCTAGACTAAATCAAATCAGGAACTCTCTGAAGCTGATTGGCCAGCCGTACCCTATAAGATGACAACACCTAATGTTTACAGAGGTAAGCTATAAGGTAACGAAAGAACGTGGCAGCAAAAGAGACATTCGGTGTAGTTGGAACTAACCGAAATAAAAGCCTTCATATGGGAATATTACTGCCTTATTTTATGAGACTTTCCGTGACCTGTATCCCCATCAAATTCCATCGACAGAGCGACGTTCGTATATGGCCCGAGGTGGCCGGGTGGGTTTTATGTAAGTAGATATCGTGAGTTGAGAAACTGATGCTAGAGGAACGTTATCCTTATAATAAATTAAAAATAGATATCTGCATAGAGCTAATACAGTACTTATTTTTGGCTGTAGCTTTAACAGATTGTAGACTTACTGATCGAAAATATAACAGGGATAGGGAAACTGCTGTAGATAGACACCCGTATTGTTTACCCATCCTGTATGCAACGAAATGATTGCCTGCTCAACCAAGTCTTGTAGGTAGGCGAATCCAAATGTAATGTACTTCAGGTCGATGGCAGGCCGCCTTCGAGGCCCTGGATGATATACTCTGAAAATACGGGCAACGCATGAAGAAACAACCGTATCAAAGCGATAAAGCCAAGCATTAAAATACTAATGGTGAGTCTGGCAATGCAGTTGTCGTTACTTATAAATATTAATTGTTGTCTATAATATTAACAGTTAAAATAGACTCACTATTGTTGACGTGTATATGAATATCGCTTTTAACAACATCCCTAGCAGGAGCAAAAAAGCCACTTCATTAAATTAAAAAATTCAACTGACGTATCAGTCTGTCGCTAATAGATTTGCATCATCGAACAAGTTGTCTGTGTCCCCTCCTCGTAGGTTTACAGACACATACACACTAAAGAACCCAATAGAACAATGGTTTCATTAGAATCGTATAGAACTTGATAATTTTAGCATGAATATAATCTCCATCAAGCTTTGGTCAGAATCGACAGTCGATCAATTTTGTACAGTCAGCGACCATCGATTTTGCCGGCGCTTAATCGTTATGTTTTTTTATTATTGCGTAACAGTTATTAATATAATATACTATATTAAGTTAATATAGTAAGAAGAACTCTAGTTGCTAATTTGGCAGTGAAGTGCGTGTGGGAAGTGTTCGCTCAATATTTGTGTGCGTGCCAACAATCGACGTTTTTACACTGGGCTCGAAAGACAGTATGCTGAATTATATTGACGACCATAACGATTGTATGTAGCTCAACTTAAGGCATCACAGTGGTTCTAAACAGGTGATGCACAAGTCTCGGTCAATGTTTTATATCCGTGAGCTCCATATTCAACGTTGTGTGTTACACGTACATACAAACATACACAACGTCCGATGTGGTCTAGTGGCTAGGATTCCTGGTTTTCACCCAGGCGGCCCGGGTTCAATTCCCGGCATCGGAGCATTTTTAAAACCAGAATACCTCATTTTTATTCAATATTCATTCGCTCCACAGTTTTTTTAAGAAATGATTGAATATTGGTTTGTTCAAAAGTTTATTGTGATTCTAACAGTATTGATCAATGACCACAGTTGTCAGCACACGTTCCAGAAAAAGTGAACGGTCGTTAGTTCTCAAACTCTCATTAGATATTTTAAAATCGATACGCATATCCGTAAACTCCGTCAACCGAACAAAATTAATTGTTAAATACATTTGTTACCATATGCCGAAACCCGGGATCGAACCAGGGACTTTTAGATCTTCAGTCTAACGCTCTCCCAACTGAGCTATTTCGGCTACAGTAATTAGTAGCTTTTGCTTGCTTTTTGGGTCTTTTATTTCTAATTTTAGATACTAACCAGATGGAATATTTTATAGCTGCTGCCGCTATAGGCACCTCGATGAGATTTGCGAGCAGCAATGGGTCTCTAGCCGACTGTTTTTCGTATGAATCTTGACGGCTAGGTTGCGGCCATTACCAAATAGAGCAACCTCTGTACAAAGTCAAATGAATACCAAAGACCTGCAGCTTTAGCCAGTGGGCAGCGCGAACAACGTTTGAAATAACGAACAGGTTGCATAATTGCGTCCTCGTTATGTCTCGTCGGTTGCATAGATTCAGTTATAAACTGGCAGACGCAAACACGATTTCCATATTTCTTCTCTTCGTCAACGCTGGGGAGTGCTGGCGGGCACTCACTTAGACGACTCACGGAATGAGCAGCATTCTATACTATCGTGGAACAATATTGTGTATTCCATAAAAGTTCAGCTCCGGAGGCCAGACATTGTGCCGTTTTCGCGTTTACCCCCAATATTTTACCCTCAAGGCTTTTGCTCCGTTGGCTTCCTCTGTTCGTCGTTCGCAACGTCCGTGGAGCGTACTGCTGTCCCGCTAAAGTGCCGCGACTAGGCAGGCGATAGCGACGCTGGCACTTTGGGCAACGGTCCTAGATTTAAATCCTATCCATCGAAGCCATCGAAAGAACAGACGGGGCGAGACAAAGGAAACGAATATCAGAAATCGTCTATACGTCGTATCACCCTGGTGGCCGAACACAAAATGATATTATAACCTCTAGTGGTGCACGCTTGTCCAGATCAAATATATGTATCAGTAGGCATATTGTGTATACATAAATATTAATCCATAATACGTATATGTCGTGTATAATTATACAACATCGTACACTATGTGGCGTGTGAACACCTGATCAGGATATCAGAGATCAAGGAAGGTAGGCAATCACGGCTGGTCAGTAACAAGTCAGTTCGATCAAAGCATCATAGCAACGCAGCCTAGTGAACCCAACTGGTCTTGACTTGGTTCTCTCTAATTGATGGAAAAAAAGAAAAAAAAAACATGCGAGCACAAGAGAGAACGCTCCAGCGAACGAAAGATAGGTTTATGATTTCTATGTTAAGCTTTTGGGTTCCCTCCGGATCGTACTTTTCACTTTTGCATCCAATAAGTCTACTAAGTAATTAAAACAAGCAAGAGTAGGTGCATATGCATAGAAAGACGCTCACGTGCATTTCAGGAAAATGGATCATCTTAAATACGATTCTTCTAATGTTTGGCTTGCCTTATAGGACGGGCTTTTCGCGTTAAAACATGTATTAGTTTAGGAAAATAGAGCAGCCGATAGCGAGTTCTAGTGACGTAGTTGATGGTTGCCCCGAAGCGGATCTTGTCTATCCGTCACTCTAAAATGACGTGTCATCAGCAGCACGTCTGCTAGCAGCAGTCGTACAGTATAGTGAAAAGCCATGAATATGTGTTGCTTTTGTTATCGAAAGCTCTCTTCGGTTGTTCATGCAAGCTAAATGGGACTCTGTAGTCCTACTGTAGCCCTACATTTTGCCCTTCAATCGTTCTGGATTCACCGTTATCCTTTTGGTTTGTAATTTAGTTAAGGTGAGTAGTGGAACGAGCCGCGCATCTTGTGTCTAGTGTTTATTAAAAAGTCTTATTATTTTTAGCAGACATTGGGCATATCAAGGAAACGCGACAAGTGCCTCAAAAGCTACTCGAACCATATCTTGTTGCGATTGTTGAAGGAAAAAGAAACACGGGGATCCCCTAGCAGCGGCACGGTACTACCCGCAAAGGGGATGAGTCTTCCGCGATAAGCCTTGGAGGCCAAACGCGGCCTCTCAATCGAAAGATTAGTCGTCGACTAAAGGCCTTTGAACTGAAGAGGAAGGTAGGCGAAAAGCTGGTGGGGGACCATGGCCGTAGGGCGGTGGAGGTGGGAGACATTTGAACAAGTCGCCGCTGACGACCACTACGTACAGGAAGGAGTTGACTATATCCAAAATAGGTAACCATTGGAATTTAGGGCTTAGGCCCATTTCCTCTGATCAAATGAAGATTCCTTCTTTTTCAAAAACCTGCATTTCAAGGAACGCCTTCCGACTGTGCCTTTTGTGTACTCCTTTTGATTTTTCTCTTCTACCCCGTACCCGCAGATGGCCGACGTGTTGTCATGATAACTAGTGGTGGTACAGCTAGAACCAAATGTGTTTTGTAGATTAGCCAAGTTCATATTCAGTATATGTATATGTAATGTATGATACCTATTCCTTTACAGGTGACTAGAGATTGCTGGCTTTGGTACAAACTAGTTTTTCTAATTTAGATATTATTAAGAACTGCAGATACGATAACAAAAACAATTCGAGGGAGTCAGAGCTAGGAGCGCTGTTGTCCGTAGGCTTCTATCGGGGTGCCCGGAACACTAGCTAAGTCACTGTGAGTACCTGCTGACCAGCAGGGAGAGCGATAACGGCTCAACGTCAAACGGCTAAAAATAGGCCACACTTGACGAAACCAGCGGGCTCTGTCAGAACCCTTTTGTCCCTTCTGCGTTGGGCTCACAAGCGGACTGGCCTGTTTGGACCTCTGCAATGGCCTGCAGATAGATGCAGCAGTAGCAATAGCAATAGCAGGAGTTACAACTTGAGGCCATGACGATCCAGCTATCCTTGGATGCATTTACCGGCACGCCATTGTGAAATAGGCGAGCCTTGGACCTACGGCTTGAGCAGGACGTGGCGTGCAGACATGGGTCTCACTCTCCTTTAAAGAAAGAGAGAATGATAAAAAGGAGAGAGGAAGACTAGGAAGATGAGAGCGGCAAGAAGGCCCAGCAAAAAGTGTTATGGGGGCTCAAGGGGCGGTCGGGGAGGGCTGGGATATATGGCAGATATCAAGAAAGAGATAATACCAAGCTAGACACCATTCGTTCGCTGTCGGGATAAGAGCCACCGATTGCCAGTTAGTCCACAGTAAAACTATGCGGCCCGCCTTAAGATGCTCTACTCTACTATAACTGCCGTTAACTGTAGCTTGTGTGATCTGGCTGCGCGACCCAAAGCAACTAGTTGACTAACAACGATAGTAGTGCTAATGCAAGCTGGATGGGTTATGGCAATGGGACAAACGATGGTCAAGTGTCCTAGCGACAAGCAGAAAGTCTGCCTATTAAAAGTAGGATCTGCTGCATTGCATCAAAGAGAGCTGGAAGAAAAGAAGGGTGATCCTCATTGAGTCTATTCTGTAATATCGTTTTGCTGCAAAAATCAACGAGAAAAATGACTGTCGCTGCTGGTGGCAGCAGTAACAGCAGCGAACAATTTGTATAAACAAGCCTACCTATTCGTTGTTCGTTTCAGGGAGAGAAAAAGCAAGCGAAAGAGGGAGGCAGGCAGGCAGGAGAGAGCCTGCAAAAGCTTCTGGTGACTTCAGCAGCTATGCGTAGCTTACTTGACGCTATCGTTTGGCCTTCTGTTGTGATTTCCTTTACACCGCAGAACTGCCGTTTATTATAGAATATGCCGGCCAGAATATTCATATTTATAGGCAGTAGTCGGCTGGTATCGAATCTATTCTGCTTGAAGACCGTAACGTTTTCATAGAAGCCTACCAAAGCCAATTTGTCTACCTCGCTTTTATGTTCTCTTGTTTTTTTCGTTCTCTGCCTGGGTCATGTTTTCTAATTTTTGGAAGAGGGTCGGCTGTTTTTGGGACAGTAGCGAAAGAGGCGTAATATGGCATAATAATGTAGCAGTACTCTTACAGAATAGTAAAGTTTATGGCAATCATTATCTAATCAACTAAACTATTGGGTTGTTTTTTAGGCAATGGCCTTTCCAGAAGGTCCAGCAACTGAGGAAAAGGGCAACGGTCATTTATTTTTGCGATGACGATCAAATTTATTATGAGAACGTAAAAGAAAGAGGATACGCAATAATTTCTGATGTAACAGACTGAGGGCGGAGGTGGCTATCGGAGGGTATTTAGAGCAGGCAGGGGCCACTAGGTCATGGGCTTGGGTGCGTACCGCGAGCCTTGTCGAAGATTTGCTACAGGATATTGCAGTGACCATTAGGCAACAAGCTGAAACTATTAGCGTAATGCGTTCATTGTTCATCGAATCAGTTAACCTCCGCTCTATGTACGGTAATCTCTAATGGTTGGTGCTTCTGCAGGACCACCATTTATTAGGACTGGACCGAACCACATTTAGCCTACTCCGTCGATGAGTAATGCCACCGAAGAAGATTGTCAAAACAACGAACTTCATTACGCCCTCCCAAATACCCCTCGAACTAACAGGTTGTAAAAATGGGGCAATCGATGGGGCATGTACAAATAGTTTTGAAATAATAATCAGTGCAGAGCTAACAATCGAACCAGGTCTATCGCGGATAAAATACTCACTGCTTTAGAGTCGACGTGTTGAGGGTTTTTTTTTTTCAAAAATCGTTTTTCTTTGGCATAAAAATCGAATATAAGCCTGCAGCAAGACCTAGCGCGGTATATGTTTGTGATGGTACTGATGAAATTACGTACCAAATCGGTAAATGTGTGCACTGAAATAAACAACAACGCGCAATAAACTTGATATTTACATTGGACAACAAGAATTATTTCTTTTATACGCAGTGTAGACGGTTTTCCTCAGAAGGTGTATTTTTAACCGAAAAAAAAGGAATTCTAACAAGGTTTTATATCAGATGAGGGACGGCATTTTACTTACCCATCCACCCGTAAACTTCTATTTTATATGTGACACGAGATCTCGCTAAAATTAAACACAGGGTAATCGCCTATTGTATCTTACTGTCTAAACAGGACAACATTCGACAAGATCTGGACAAACGACTACCAATCGAAAAACAACAAGACTATCAACGACGATTTGCGCCGTCCTTTTCTGTGCTGTCTATCGCCATCGGGCTAATGGTAATTGACCAAACAGGCAAATCAATAGAATTTTTGCTTTGATCGTTCGCATAGCGTAGAACGATATGAAAAATCAATGGACCGTGGCTAACCGAGGACGCCAATTTGACGCTAAAAAGGAATGGACAATCCTTGAAAAGACATTACTCAACGGGCCTTTACTATAGATTTCTTGAGCCATCAATTGTATATAAAAAAAACAAACATGCAAGCCAAGCCAACGTCTACAGGGTGAGTGCGAAGTGTTTCTTAATCCAAGAACTATATTTCAAATCTGGTATAACTCGATAAAATATCAAAGGCGACACACAGAATGCATAGAAAATGTATAATAATTATCCTATATATGAATGAGTTTGTTGCGGACAGCAAATGATAATAGTTATAAGCCTTGGTCACAATTTTATTCGAATAACTGCATAATTCGTTATCTTCAATGGGTGCATCTTCAACGCTGGTCCTAACAGTACCCGTGACACAATAGTCTTCAGCATCGGTCTCAAGCCAATTCTATGCCGCCCTCATCGTAGCCACTGGATTGTGGTATGCAATCGTTGTTATTGAAATCTTTTGCTTGTCTCGCTCTTTCCGATTGAATGATGGAACAGCCGATAGTGCGACGATGCAGCGGAGCAGCGACGAAGCGTCGGCCCACAGTTTCTCTATTTGTTAACAGTATTCCGCTTTTTTATTTGTAGAAGTTGCCCGAACCTCCATCCAGAAGCCGTTACCACGCACGGATACACAGCCGGCGTTCGCTGGCCAGCGTTTGTATCATGGCTAAGTGCTTGCTGCAACGACTGACTAAATCAGACGAAAAGGTCCTACTCTCAGCAACCATGGGCACTACCAGCGCGAAAAATTACTGCTACCGTTGCTAAAAAAGATTGTTTGGCCTTTGTTGATTCTATTCCCAACGCCATTTCCGACCTTGGCGCCTGACAACATGTTGTATGTGTTTACCGCAACTGTTAGTTCTGTTCAATGCGTCTTTTTGTGTGTGTTTGCCCGCCACCATGATAAATGTCTCCAGTAACATAAGCTTATGCTAGAAGCGTCGAGCCTCTGCTGCCGTTTGTTCCGTGGTTACGTTAGCATTCGCGTAGCAGTCAGCACATGAAAGAACACAAACATGTATGTTTGAAACTGATGCTCATAATCAGGGCGAGCATGATACTTAAATGGTTCTGCCGTATAATTGTTTATCTTGTTTGTTGTTATTTCAAGCATGATCATCATCCTGATTTTGCTGTTATTACCGCTAATGCTGGAACGACCGTGGCAACGAGTGCTGCTATTCGTATAAGCAAATTGAAGGCAGAAAGAGAGGCAGAGAAGGAGAACAGCACGTAGTCGGGGAACAGCGACGAGAAACGTCCGACACCCACTAACAAGCAACGATAGCTAGAGCACAAAGCGATCAACAAAGTTATTGCAGCAACAGATAAATAAACTTCTATACCCCGGTCGTTGTTAGTATTGCAGCTCTTGCTGTTCCTGTTGCAAGCAGGCGGGCGACAGCCAGAGACAAAACCTGCTGTGCTTGTGCTTGTGCTGGCTGCTATGGGTAGGATTTTGGAGTTTTTTGTTGACGCTGCTGCTCTCTCTAGCCCCACTTCTGCATTAACTTTGGCACTGCATGAGAAACGAGGCGCTGCAGCTAACGCCGGCAAGGTCCTGTGGGAGCGCAGTAGGCTCATACACAAAAAGCTATAACTGAGGCCAGGTTAAGACAGTATGAACATAATTGGTTGGCTCAGATACGCCGCGAAATCGCACGGGGCACGGTAAACCCACGTAGTACGAGTGGATGTAACTGATAAGACAACGAACGGCGACCTATACGTGAACACAAATACAAGGCAGGAAAAATGAAGAGTACAGTCTATGGCTGTTTATATATCTATATCTGCTAGAGTTTGTTAGCTGTTTGTTTCCACGGCGACAACCGTTGAACCCACATCCTTGATGGGTTGGGCAGCCCTTAGATATGGTATAATACACACAATTCGTAGAAGAGTTACGACGAGCAGCCGTAGGATGGAATGTTATAAGCAACATTATTACACATTATTATAGCAAAATTAGGCGCACTTCCTTTTAACTAACTTAAGTGGTTTATGAGTAATAACGCACATATTTTGAACAATACATGTATTTATGCGATTAAAAGGCTCGAATCCTTTACTCAGTCCACGCCAGTGTAAGCTTGGTGGAATCATTTCCGGTCATTTTTTAGGGTTGCGGCAGAGGTTGACAACCTTTCTGGGCTCAGCTTTGATCAAATAACACTTACCTGTCCTCAATGCGTTTGGTGGAGTCGACTTTTTGGGCATCCATCCGAATCTTATATCTAATAAATTTTGGAATTTCACCGTTGTTGGCAGACCACGATCCTCCTGCCGTGTTAGTGAAAACCAAAGCGGCCCAGAGTTTGTTTTCGGCCATGAGCTTCAACCCGTTTTTCATAAGATCCTCTTCTCTGTCGTAGCCCTCAAAACGGTTCATTTCAACGCACTGAAATCATCAACACAATTTTAGAAGGTTTTTCCGCTTACTAATGAGACCTTGCTTATAAAGCTGGTGTTTATTGTTGTTGTGTAATTGTTGTTCAACAACATGACGCAGGTCATGAGATTAGGTAAGGGTCACCACAGTAGAAACTAGGCCTCAAAACAGGTGTTCATTGGTGTACATATGTGCTAGCTCATTGAGACTCAGGCAGCCCTGAGCTACCAAACGATGTTAGCGTAGCTCCCGTAACAAGCTAAAATAAGAGGGTTTTTTTCCGGAATTTCATTGATCATTTAATAAGCCGCACATTTCTATACTGAAGTACTGCTCCTCCTCGATACTTATTCGTGTTATGCTTGTGCGGAAAGCAAATGGCGTAAGTTGACGTTGACGATCTGAAACTGGTGACGGCTGTACACAAGCAAGATTTAGTCAGGTGGCAGCAGCATTTGCTGCCAGTCGACAACTGTCCCCAGCCTTGACCCAGTCGAAAACAGGAAAAACTGCATTGAGGTGTACAGGTACTTCTCAACAAGTTACTTCTTAACAACAAGTTAAGGCCATTTAGGTGACACATAAATTACTCAATTGCTAAATCTAAGAATTTTAGTAAGTGGGACGCGATAACTGTAATTAAGTAAGGTAGAAATGTCCAGTATAAACCAGCTGTCATTGTTTATTGATTGCTTAAAACATTAGATATCACATGGGCTTTTACTAGGCCCATCTGCTCTAATGTGTGGCCCATTTGCGTTTCATATTTTTCGAATGGTTAATCGTTTGATTGCCAAAACAGGTTATGCAATATAGGCAACGAAACGGACGTACTCAAGCGTCTAATTTTTATCTATAAGTTTTGGAATCTAGCCGGCTATGAATTCTGATTTGGCCATTTGCACGACTAGCAAATTCATATTGTTTAATCAACCTCTTCATGGAGTAGATTCGAACGGGTTCGTTTAAAAGACCCACGGGAGACCCGTTTTGCCTATTGCAACCTGATATCTGAATTCCCAGAGTAGACCCCGAAAAACACTTCGTTTTACTTGTAGTATAATAATCTAAATCAGAACTTCATCTATCAGTATGTATATTTACAGGTGCGTAAATGGTATGCTTATCAATTATGATAGATACGTTTCAGAGTGGCCTATTGAAGGCTTAAATCATCTTTCACAAGATATGAGTAAATGCTGCCAATGATGCGGCATATTTTTATAGTCAAACGTTTTCGTTGCTCGAGACGCAGTTGGTAGGATTACAGTGGGATTAGGTCAACATCCACGTACCCTTATCCCTCGAGTATTCTGGTTCCGGGACAGAAAAACGACAGGATTAATACGTTTGGTTTGTGCACGCATATGGTTAAATCGCAACGAATTCTGCAAACCGATTTCCCAGACAGCTGAGAGCATTTAGAAAACTAAATCACATTAGATAGTTTCTTGCACGTACGGCCATCACTATACTTGAATCTATATAAATACTATTGAAAGTGTTCTCTTGCCAGGTTAATTATGTTTACCGTGTGCGCATTTTCGGCTTTTTACCACCAAAGTGCTTTTGTTATTAGTCGGCTGTTCAGATAGAGACGACGACAGGAGTCGATAGTTGGGATCGTCGATGCATTAAAGTCACCATGGTATAGCATGCTTTTGCCCCGGCTCGGTGGTCTGTTTCGTCTCAAAGGGCAAATAGGAGAAACATTTTAGAGCAGTTGTCCTTAAAACGTCCTCCTGTTTCTATCCAGTACCACCGATAACCAATTGGTTCATCTACACTAGAAATAATAGATAGAAAAGAAACGTTCGCTCAGTAAAGACGGGCAGACGTTGGAACTGAATCTACGTCGTGAAGAAGCACTCTAAAAAACAAATATTACATATGTTAGCTGTTCAGCATAAGCCAATTTCAGGCTGAGACAGAGCCGATCAGATCGCGCATCCGAGGAGTCGTAGTTGTCGAAACGTTCTGCTAGCGGCAGATATAAGTAAGCTTCTATTGGTAGATGCAGACATATAGATCTGTGCAAAAAAACCTCGACGGACTATATTATTAGTGCAAGGTCTCGCACAGAGACAGCGAAGCAATGTCTTCTAGATACGAAGATGTTATTATTGTTGTCATTAAAGTGAACTTTAATAAGAGATATTACGTACATGCGCATAATTGTATGATGCACGATTCCGTTATACTGTATATGATACGATAACAAGAATGCTTCTTTTCCTTAGTAAGTTTTTTTTAAGCAGAAATGTTTTTTGTTTTAGTAAGTTAAGTAAACATGCAACTTAGACGTCATTCATAAATCTGGGTTTTGATATAAGATACATTGTAAATATCTCTACCTTTTTTTCATTCTATTATATGGAATAGAAGGTGAGCTTATCGAACCATTCGAAGTTCAGATAAAGTTGTAAAAGTTATTGAAAGTGGAGGGCGATTATGTTACGATCGAGATCAGTTAAGCGGTTCAATTTATTATCCCTATCTAAACCCAATCGAATCCATTAAGGCCCTACGTACGTTTCTTCTGTACGTTTCCGTATGTGTTTTTCTCGTCACTCTGATGCAGGGATTGACTAATACGTCTTCTGAAATGTCACGTCTATCCTTTAAGCATATATATAGCACGCTACGAAGCGGACAGTGACGCCAGTACTCCGAACGCTGACCTAAATAACACTTTTTTACATCCACGATAACTCTTCGAGGCCGTCGTGTTGTTCGTGCGGTGTCAAAATCGAAGCAATGATTTTCGCTATTTCGTGAAGTTCGATGCTCCTGAACCAACTCCACACATCTGCTGAGGGCCATTACGATAAATATCAGTCAGATCGTTTCAAATAGCTGGAGCAATATGTTCGGTATATTCGTAGGCAGTAAGCCGCTTCTCGTGAGTACAGATCCGGATTTTGCCCAGAACGTTTTATCATTTTTTCGTTTTTAAATTTTGTCAATCGCGCTCCGCTGTTCGTTCTCGAAACATCAGAGCCGATATTCCGTTTGCCCAAAACCAAACATGCCGACAACGGCGAAAGCTTTTCTCACTTGCATTCCCTTCGAAGAACTCAAAAGAGCTGTTATCACTTATCAGTATTGGAGCTGACTATTTCGTGAAAGAGCTCGACGCCCGACAGGGCCAAACATTTAATGCCCTACCTATAGCTAAATACTTAGCCATCAGTAACATTGCCTTAACAATATTCGGACATCAACCGCAGGCTCAGACACGTGGCGAATCGCTAGGTGTTATCTCGTCACTGTACGAGGCGTCCGAAGGCCAGATGAGCGGACTGTTGGACTTGCGGGTGAACCGTTTTAACTTCGTAGGCGTCATCCTGAGTGGTATGCTCCGATTTCTCTTCAAGCAACGCCTACTCAGAGTGGCTTACCAAGGAAGTCGTTGCCATAGTTCATGCAAGACGTATGGGAAAAAGAAGAAATGATCTTTTACAACGCTTCATAGACGCGAATGATGATGCCAACGCTTTCGATGGTAAACCTGACAAACGATGAACTAATTTCTAATGCGTGTGCTATGTACATAGTTGGTCTTGAAACTATATCTTACACCCTAGGATATTTGTTCTATTGTCTTGGACAGCATCCAGACGTTCAAGCGAAACCACAGCAAGAAATTCAAGGTACTTTCACCTCAGACGACACCAGTAATATTTCAATGAAATGGGTGGCTTATGATCAAATGATGCAAATGAAGTATCTTGATGCCGTGATCAAAGAAACGTTGCGCATTTACCCAACGGCTACTGGATTTATAACGAGAAAAGCGCACTCAGAGTTCACGTACGGCTGTAGGACCTTTCCTGCCGGCCTGAATATACTCTTTGCCGTCACAGTCATCCACGGGGACCCTAGAAATTGGCCGGATCCGCTAGCTTTTAAACCAGAACGGCTCGATGCCGACAGCAGTGAGAGATCACACCAATTAGCATATCAAGCCTTCGGATAAGGTCCTCGGAACTGCAACGGTATGAGGTTTGGCTTAATGTCTGTCAAGGTAATTCTCATACGAGCTATTAGAGTGTTTTAAATCTAATCACCTGGAGCAGCCGAGCGAATTTCGAGAGCAGTATTAAGTAAGCCTCGAACGATTGAGCTGATTGTCAAAAGGCTGAAAAATCAGTAATAATATCCAATGGCATTACAAGACCGTATTGCGACGGCAGGACAATAGTTCCTGTTACTGTTTAGATGAAAAACGCTTAGCGGACCTTTAGGCTAACGATTGATCAGTTGTTCTGGTCGAACGTTAAAGTGTTTAAAAGGTACATAATGATATAATATAATGTACCAGAATATGTTTGCAATAAGTGTTAGTTTCATTTTGGCATTACCCTACTTAGTAGCTAGAATGAGCGTAGTTGAAGTGACGGATGATGCCTCATATCTATAGTAAGCTTCAGTAACGCAGGATTTACACAGTTATCTCAGTAATAAAAAGCCAAACAGGCTTGTTCAAGTCTTGTTTTTAAAAGGAACGAGACAGTTCGTAGGCTATCTGGTCAGGAATACTCACATTGAGGGCATTTTCGACTTCCTTAGCGATCCTATTGGCGCCTTGTACATATTGCGGGACATCGGCAAGCCAACCGAGCGTATCTGTAACACCGGTAGTGTTCATACCGCCAATTCCCTCGTTACCCGTCACTCCAATCGTACTTACATTGTTCACGTGTTGCTCCATCATGATCAAAAATAGCAAACTGCCCGTCGACGATAGCTTCTGCATAACAATGGCCCACAAACAATTCCGGAAAATAAACAATATTAAGTAAAAATAAAGTAGGAAGCAACTTACCGCTACCCAAGCGTCGATAAATAAACTCAAGGTGCACGTGTAAGGGGCCATCATCTCAAAATGTCGATTGTTCCCCTTCTATAACGGTAACCAATTACGATAAGTTACGGCAAAACTATAAAATCTACTGTGGTCGAGCGAAGTACAAATTAGATGAATAAACCTATATGATATAGTAGTATTTTGGATAATCGACTGATTAAACCGTTAGCGATTTCGCAAGTTACTCCGCTCAAGAACATATTACAGTGTTAGACGACAAAATAACTGGCGGAGGGAAACGGGATCGTCTCGCTAGCAGCAGCAGTAACAACTAGAGCAGAAGGGCCGAGACGTCACTAAAAGAGAACTAGATTAATTAAGCCAGCAGTTATTCTAGTCGATAAGCAGTTGTAGCTGAACCAACAGCGACAGCATCAGCGGGACATCGTCGCTTAGGCCGCGGCAGCAGCTGTCCGTTTTCGTTGTTTTTCTTTCCTTTACTCAGCCTTAATTCATCATTTGGGATCTTCTTCTCTACTTCACACGGCGCCCGCTCTTCCAATCGTAGAAATTAGAAGAGGTACTAAGCGATTTGTATTTGAATATGTCGTTAACTATTAGCTTAATTAAACACAGAATCATAGATACAGATATTGAACCTTAATAAGGCTACAATATTCAGTACGTGCCTCTGAAATTGACGAATCTCACAGAACGCCAGTAAGTTTCGAACGGATAACATGGTTTAAAAAAACCACTTATGCACTAAGCCTAGCTACCAAACAGCTAACGGGCTGTACTAGGACTCCTATAACAGGACTACAATTTTTTCCGCCTATCTCCTTCCTACCATGGACGCACAGGATGAATTGTACGTACTTTAATTTGTTCAACCGTATCTGAGTGCTTTTGCATCCAGCTCAGAATCTTGGGGGCAACACTGGCCGTCCAATGATGTGCCGTATTTCGTACGACGAGAAGCGGCTCGAACGTTTTGTTTACACGTTCAATGACCTTGAACGTAGCGGCTGTGCGTGGCGAGTACAAAATCTTGCCCCGAACATATGGCTTCAGTTGCTTCCATAGAAATAACGTAATCTGGTTTTCTTCGAGCGTCTTGAAGATAGCATTACACCTTTGTGCTGTTAAATGTATAATACAATACAGCAGACGGAACAGAAAACAGTCGAGAAAAATGGAACAGGAATTACGTTATAGGTCATATTATAACAACATCGCAAAGCCCGACTATCTATAATTAGCTTTAAAAACCTATTGACTATTTAACCAATCTCTTTTATTATTTAGGAGAATTCTGCGTTATCTAAGATACACGTTCTCAGATAAAAAAACTACACGAACAACGAAGCAGCATCTTCATTCCTAGATATGAATTCTCATTTGAAGATTTCCTTTTGATGAAGGACCTAATCCGTAATTAAGGCCAGATGGGCGATTCGGTGTTAGCAATGCGTTCTTATTCATCTACATAAAGAAACTATTCGAGATGGATTGTTTTTATACATTCCATTACATTTATACATTGTTTTTATACCGGGCTGTAAGGTAACCAGAGCTGTAAGGTTGGCTTAAAGCGGTAGGCAACTATAGAAAATTGTTAACTTCAGTGTCATTATAACATTACATCTTTGTGTAACACACACCCGACTTGACTCAAATTGATCATGTAAATGTTGCGTCTACGAGAACCGGTGTGCGTCTAGAGCATCATTCAGATGTCGATGATCTTGTACAAGTCCATACATTTCGTGTTTGTCGGTAATCAATATGCCATTGCGCAACACAGTCCTACAGATTTTAGGTTCGTAAGAAATAGAGCAAGAACGAAATAACGCTTAATAGTATTCCACGAAAAGCAACGAATCGTCGACATTGTTTAGTAGACTGTTCAGTCTATAGCTTCGTGCACGAGAATTGCATAGACATCTTTGAAGTTCACTCGTTATCAAGTTAGATTTTCTACTCATAAAACCCTTTAATGCCAGTGATAAATACGTAGCCATATTTACCTTCACCGAATGTATAAAGACCACAAGCTGAAGCGTATGCATTCTATGACGCAGCCATTTTTCACGATCTATAGCCTCTGGGCATATGCTTAGCATACAGAGAAAGCGGAAACAAAAGTGTCATTTTATTGATTCTACGTGGCCAATAGGCCGTGGAGACAATGTGCACGCGTAGGTATTATTTGTACCATCTAGGCCTTCAATGATAAGTTAAAATTGGCCAGAGTTCTGTTGGTTACCTACCGTTTCCTAACTAACGAATGCTAGACGTACCTACCGAAAATTGCACCATCCTTTGACCTCTCTGTCCTCCTTTCCCTGGCTGGCTTCCTAATTCCTGTCCACCACTAATACTACTCAGGACGTGGCGTTCATTTTCAGCAGGACAACATACAAACGCCACTGACTGATGGCCGAGCTCTCAGCATAGTCCCTCAACTGTTCTTCCTATCGTGTGACCTATATATCGCCATCAGCGTATTGCCATCGACGGTTTAGGTAAATACTAAAAAAGCACACAGAGCATGCGCACACGCGCAAGTAGAGACAGGTTTCGGTAGTAAAAGTAACAGTGGCAACAACGGTCGTCGTCATGGAAATGGGAAAAGTAGGAAAACCATTACGGTCGGTTTTTCACCCTCGACGTTAGTCGGCCAGCCAGCCAGCCAGCCAGCCAGCCAGCCAAACACCCGAAGGGTCGTTTTCATCTAACCCAAAGCTAAGCGCGGGCCTTTCCTTGAGCTAAGGAAGAAAATAAGCAAACCTAACCGGGTTTGCCATCTACCGAGTTGTCCTACTTGCTTACTAGGATGCTTGAAAGTGGTTTTGATTGTTGGTGGTCTTTCTCTCCCTACAGAAATGTGTGGATCGTAAGAGATTGGGTAGCTCCCCTTACCCTCTCGTTGTTTTCAGCATTATGTATAATATATACGATCGGCGGTTGGAGAAAGCGTCCGCAAGGCAGAAGCGTCAATGGTAATTGCAATCCGCTTGGTCATGGAAATGAATAGCGTTATTTTTATTAAGTTCCACCTTCCTTCTCTTCTTTCCCTGTTCTACGACAGTCGACCTGCTACTGGCAGCTATTCGTTGTTATCAAAGCATATCCTTTCGTCATACCCAAAGTAGGGGAAGGAACTGAAGCCGACGACTCGGCTTACTGTGCCTGTTGATCCGCCTAGCGTTAGCGGTTGTAGTCGATAATTGCAGCGGGTAGGAGGTGCGGACGCTGCCAATAGTTACTGAGAAATTAAGAACAAAGGGATGCTTGTACGTGTAAGCTAATGTTTACAAAATGTGCACACTGATGGTGTATCGGACTGATGTCTCCTAATGCAGAAGGCCTTAAACGAACAGTTACTAACGAAGAGTTCTACATACAGTGGACTGGCGAACCAGTGCCACAATGACAGTGCTCTAGTTATATTTTTGAGGACCCTTTATACAGAAATCACTACTTCGTTATTTGCTCTTGCTTCCGGACTGCTAATACGCGTATAGTACAAGTCTTATTCAAGAGTAATGTAAGGAAACTCAGAGGGGAAATGAAAAAGAAAAGCAAAGATCCAAAAAGAACAACACAATACGCAAACGTACTTAAAAGTAGCCCAATTCAAGGGAGTACGCCTAGCTTTTCTTCCACAGTCCTTTCGCGTGCACCTGTGTTTACACACCAGCCCATCTGAATTTATTAAGTAACAATTGTGCGTATTAAAAATCGATTCTGAAAGCTACCGCGTGCCAAAGTGCGATTTGCGCATTTAACCCAATTCGTTCTTTTCTAGAACACTGAACAACACCGGTTCCTTTTACTAGAGTCGTCCAGGAAACTGACGTCCACCTATAAATGAACGTCCACGTCATCTACCTGCGTGACTTACATGATCAATCCCTAGCCAATAAGAAGCCAGGAACTAGCCAATAAGACAGTCAATCTATTCATCCTTTACGGATCATAGAGAACTGTTGCACGTCATCTTTCACTCACAAGTGCTATTATCGTAGAGGTATTTGTCATCTTTGTTCTTATCCGAACTCTGCGAATTCTGTTGGAGATTCTGGTTGATCTGCTCGCGGAACTCTTCTATCCGCTGCGCTGGACCGTGCTCCGTGTCAAGCAACGTCGTCGAGTTTCGTCCACACACGACAGCCTGAACGAAGCGTATCGTCGAATTCGTATCGCTTAGGTCCATGAGACGATTCATTTCCGATACCTGCAGGTCGCAGGACAGAGGAGAAAACGACAAGAACAAGTAAAACGAGGAAGAAAAACATTATCTATCTGTCTAAGATTATTGGGCTTGTGTAAGTGAACCAGCAGAAAATTATTCAGTTTAGGCCGGAATACTATGGATCTTGCACTTATAAACATCATTTATTGATTGTGACGGTTATCCTGCAGGGGAAAAACTAAGGAGAAATACAGGTCGCGTGGCTTCCCTAAGCGGAAGCACCCTAAGCACAAACATTAAAAAACTCAAACACCATATTCTATAGATGATTGTTTGTTTCGATATGGACGGACCTTCTTAAAAAGGCTGTCGAGCATTTCGCGCAGGCTGCTTAACTCGCCAACTTCTTTTCGAACTTGCTGCGCGATCACCAACGCTTTCCGCCAGTCTTCGAGACCGATATCGTAGCCGCTTTGCTTTGTGATGCCGGCCATTTCGGTGAGCAGTGCCGTCCAGTTTAGGTTGCGAACGACGTTCGACGTGAATAGAAATGCTTCTGGTTCAGCCAAATTGCACAGCTGAACAGGTAGTGAAGTTGTGCCCTTGTTGCTAATGTTGAGTAGTTTATGCAAAGCATCTGACCGGCATAGATGCGAGTATACGTCACTCCTACCCCGATCAAATATCTGAGGCGATAACAAAAATCCAAATGGCCATCTTAATTCATAACTGATCATTATTTTGCAGCTAGTCTATTTTGCAGGAACAACTAAGCGTCTTGTAAATGTGAACCGATTTCATCCTTAGTTGCTCAATGAGCTCTTTCGGAGCTGGGCTACGGTCAGGTTGGAGTTTATCTTTTTAGTGGTCTGCTACGACCATTATGCACATATCTCTGTATATAGCTGTTAATATTCACTGGCCGATATTCTAAATCTCAGAAACTACTCGCTCTAAGGTGAGAAAATATGGCGTTCTGCGTGTATCCATATGTGTGTATATCGTTCTTGGTCGTAAAAAATAATGCGGCGGCCGGGAATCGAACCCGGCTACGGTAACTGTAGGTTCACTTGATCACCTTTCGTAGAACTAAACACAGAAATTTTTACAGTTTGAGTAAGTGTAATTTACTATTATGCTCATTATAATCGATGAATATATAAAATGGAACGCTAAATTGTTTTATCGACGTCAGCAAGACAAACAAAAGGTTTTAATGTATCTCTGACAAAAAAAACGTAATTTTCTCTGAAGTTTAAAAATGCCTATTGCTATTTTTAAAGATATATGTGACGATTCCAGTAGATGTTATTGCAACTACGTCCAAGAAATAGAATACGACCGATTGGCCGAGAATTTTATATCACGTGAGTCTCACCGACTGTTACCAAAAACATAGAGGCTGGACAAAAATTATTATGAGATCAGCTATGATCAATCCTTATGGGAACTGGATAACTTACGAGGCAACGTTCAGCTCACTAACTTGTTAGTTAGGTGCTTGATGACAGCTAAACATCTGCTAAGGTCAGCTTTCTTCAGCGTACGAAGAAGATTTAGAATAAGTCGTTCGTTATTACATATTGAGACGTAGCAAATAAAACTTAGACGTTTGACGTCATCCAAAGGCCACACAATCATGGCTAACTGATGAATTCCCATAAAAATTATCTATCAGCCATGACGGATACAATGTCAGACCCGCAGATTCAGAAGATAATTCTAGAATGCATAGAAAGTCTTCTTTCCGTTGTTGCTTTCTGAGCATTTTTAGATAATGTTAGTACTGTCCGAGCGTACTTTTCCAGCATCAGAGTTAAGCTTGAGGCATTTGACAAATGTTAATTACGTGTTATATTTGTATTCCTTTGTTATTAAGCCTATCTCTGACAATGTACGGCGTAATGTATGACCAGCACTGAAGATGGAGTCTATAAAGGCTCACGTTTAGGTACCCTGAACAGAGGTTTGGATTTGCGATAAAATAAAGTTAAATAAAATATAAAAAGTTCATTTGGTTCATAATCAGGAGCGATCGAATCTTCGAGTTGAACCCTTGAATAGTTACGACATGTTGATCGATAGAAGGATTAGATTAATGCAAAAAGTGCCCATATCTAGTTAATTCAGACGAGCCGTTTTACATGTTTCCTAAATATGCCCAGGGTGGCGAAAGCCTTTGAGGCTAGTTAGAACTGGTTTCACTAATAATAAAAACCATATACTTGAACCTACAATCAGTAACAGGAACCGCGATTAACTAGCTACCTGGGCAAAACAACATTTGCAGACTTATACGTAGACCCTTCAAATTTAGCTGTCATTTGAATTAAAGCCCGTTTGCTCTCCCCATACGACTAACCTTGAATACTTCTTGCTTCAACTCCAATGTTTTGGCTACGCAATTAAGTACATCATTTCTTTAGAAGAAAATACCATCTCCGTCCCTTTCCAAGACTTCGAAAGACTATTTGGCGCGAAATTTTGAGACGACGAAGTTTTTGTAGTTGCTAATAAAGTCATGATAACTTAGATTATGATTCCTTTCCAAAATTGATTTAGCTAACTAACTAGGGTACGACTCTTACCAATTTGCGTGAGAACAGACCCTTTCATAACCTGCCCGTTATTATAAAAAGTTGTTGGATTCCACGCTCTTCTAATTTGACTAGGTAAGGGATCACTTTCACTAATCGATACCTCTAATTGTGCATTGAATGGCTCAGCTGCTCCCCCTTTCATTATTTTTTTTAGCTCTCACATTTTTATTTTAGGTTTTTCTTCAGGTAGGTAGGTCGGTCATTTTTAATGATTTTAGGACCATTTTAGAGTACGATTTTTTTTTATTATCGCTATTCTCTAAGTCTTGTCTAGCTTTTACACACTCTCTGTGTAGTACGTAGAAGCTGTATGCATGATTGAAGAAGAAAAAGAAAAACAAACAGTATATCGAGCTGTCTGTATGAATGATTTCAGGTTATATATATACATTATCCTACGGGGATTACCTGTTGTAGGCCACTGACGCTAAGCGACGAGTGATAAAACTTGTCGACTACTTCATCAGGGATAGTTAGGTTAACCTCCTTGAAGCTGTCAACGAACTCTCCTGATGACTTGGCACGCACGATATTCTTAACCCATATTTTTCCTGAAAATAGAGTCGTTCACAAAATCGTCATAAGCGTAACTTGTGCACCTAATAAAGGTTATCACCTATTTATTAGTTTGACTGAACAGCAGTCCAAGGTCTTAAATATGACATCACCAGATGTATTCATCCTGTTATTTCCCGGGACACAACTTAGTCAAGGTTTGCTTACAGTTAGGAAATACGAAAAATAGGCCTTTCAAGTTCCCCGCTACAAGCGCATCCATCATCCATCAAGCTTGTGTAACGAAAGGACTTTTGGGAATGGAGGAGACCTTGGCTCCTTTGAAGTTCAAACGATGATAAATATACTTCCGTGTGATAGGTTTAATTTTATCTACTCGTTATTTGATATCTTCGTAGAACACAGAACTATGTTTTAGCACGATAACGAAGAAATGAGGCGGTAGCTTAGTTTTACAATTAAAAAACTAATATCGTATAGAAGATAGGGAAATGAAGAGCTGAATGATAAAAGCAAATAATTTCTGCCATATGTTTTCGTTGATTACATCACCAAAAAATATAGCGCAAGCCTGTAAGGTATGTTCAGCTGGTGAATTTTTAAAATAGCTCGATGGGACGAACATCAAATCTATGATTATAAAAAGTACAATGGCAGTTTAGGGTATGCAAAAGTCGCATAGACGTTATCATTTTTTTCAAATATTTAAGCCTATTGTCTAAGTTAGTTAGGTTTATCATGGAGCAAACGCATCATGCCTCACCTTTAAGAGGCGCTTCGGGATTGGTGACCTTCTTCACGAACGCGGAGAGCTCTTTAAGGTCGGAAGAGAGTTTCCGTATAGACATGAGGGTGTCTCCATGTAATTTCTTCTTAACGATGATATCTACGTCGCCCACCAGCTGCACTAATCTGAAATTTGAGCAAAGGGAATGCACGAGTTAAAAAAAAACAGTCAATTACCGGCAACCCTTATCATAATTACATAGAGCCTTGAGAAAATGATTTGCGTAAGTGTTCTTTAAAACAAACCTCATTGAGTTCTAAGCGGTATCTACAAAGACGCAATCTCATTTTAGATTACACATTGATCTCTGTGGGAATCGAATCTTGACAGAACAGTCTAATTAGAAAGAACTTCCTTTCTTGCATGCTTTATCAGCATTCATCAAGCTGCCAATACATTCTCCCCAACATGGATGCATCCTTCACGAAAACAACACAGAGCAAGCTTAGTTATTACTCATTTAAACTTACTCCACCACAGCGACATGACGACGAGGAGTGGCAATGCTCAACGCGAATGCCAGATAGAAACTTACTGAAACATGAACTTCCATGGTGGTGTAGGTAGCTGTTCATCTACAGAGTGAACGTATGATTTAGAAGCAACAGGACTGCAAATATTGCTTACTACCTAGAAAAAATTTTCTAGCCGGGATCGCGAATTGACTGTCAGGTTGGGGATTTACCAATGAAGATTTTTTTGGAAACTCGGTTTGTTTTAAATGCAGATGTTCCAGTCATAGAGAGACTGCTGCATTTGCTTGTTTATATTTTCATTCCAAGTTCAGCTGCAATCTTTGTGAAAATATTTCACTTACAAGGACGTGTTGTATTCAAACGCATAACGATTATCGGGGGAGGTCCGCTCATGACAGGTGTTGTTCAAGGTGCACACGGTGCTCTGTATAAACGGGATGAATCCGGCCGAAGGCATCGCTTTCTGATCGAAATGACCTGAAAAAGACGTGCAAAAAAACCAGGTACGCTGTAATCAAATACGCTAAAACGTTTACCCTTTACGTTCTCTTTGTGTGTGCTAACTGAAAATAAACTGTAATATGGATTTTGACTCTGACTAGCTTGTTCCCGTACCACGATGAATTAGTGATTGATTTTCTCTGAGCAAAAAAAACAATCTCTTTAGGACAAATATTGCATGTTTGCAATCCATCTTTCCCGGAGAAAATAGCAATCAAGAAATCACTTGCCTGCTATTTTTTTAGCCTACGCGTACCTTAGCAAGCCTCTTATTATGCATTCTGTCCATATAATGTCCAAATCCTTTGTCTACCTGGATTCTGCTAGATGTCCTTGGTAAAAACTCGTCTATATCCACAATTCGCTGTATATAATGAAAAATGGTCTATAGAAACAGATTTAACTATTATTTTACTCGAAAAACTCGTTGGCGCCCATAAGGCTTGTTCGAAGAAATCAACAATTAGATATTTAAAACAAGCCATTACTTTTATAGAAACGCGGGTGGGCCATGCAGTATGGGACCACATAAAGCAAGATGTTTGTGCAGGAACCGATATATGCATTCATGCAAAAAAATATTCATGTATATATGTAATGTAAGATAGCGTACCAGATTCCTTTATTGCACCGCCAACTTCCTAACTTTTGCATGCATAAAACTCCCTCTGTGAAACAATTTTTACTGCAAACCAGTTCGGCATTCGCTTTCCTCACAATAGAGTACGATCTGAAAGTACTGCATGCCCTTCTATGGGGCTTTGGGATCTACTTTTGAAACTTCTGATGAATCTCCATTCTCCGTAGCTTGCCTATGTAGCCCGACACTATCGTAGAAGCCACATATGTTCACGACCCAAATGCGGCGCGGGTCTGGTACAATCGCGACGCCTCAGAAATGAAGTCAAAATGAATTAAAGTTTCCTTTCTGTTAGCCTCTGACCGAATCATTTTCGGGGGTCCAACTCTCGTTGGATTGATGCCTACATTCGCCTACCAATGGTCGATAAGGACCAGCCATTTGTTTACTCAAACACGACTCGGTTATAGTTGCGACATGCGTTGCTTCAAGCTAACACAAAAAGCATTGATCGTTCTTAAGGCAGAATTAAAGCAAACATTATTTTTTTTGTGTTTGTCAATAATGTTATGCTACAAAATAAACATGAGCTATTTTCATCGATGACCCTCTAGCACATTTTTCCGTAGTACTATAATCCCACTACCGCAGAAAAATTGTGCTTGCTTTGTGCAGTAAAATTGTGACAACTGATTCTTACATCCCTTTGTTGAAATTACAATTAGTTTTATGGTGCCCGAAATAGATTCTAGTCTTATGATGCACACTGTGGGGTGGATGCGTGATAATTCTTTATCCAAGTTCTATCGATTCTTGCCGGACAGGTAAACATGTATGTAGTTCGGCATTGTTTCTATTTCTTGATTTCAGTCTATTCCTTTGATGGCTTGCCGTACTATTGTCAGATGTTGACAGGGAGGTCCGAATGTATTGTTTGTTTATGAGTAACAATTCCAATCCTATCGAACATATGGCGTCACTTTCTTCTTTTCTTAGATATAATGTGGGCTTCGCCACAGATTGTAAAGCATATTTTTCTTTTCTTTTTTTTTTTTGCTCATTATTACAGCATGTAACCCAGTTTTCATCACCGATGATCAATTGCTTTAAACATTGCTCGCTTTCGTTATGTTTCTTGAGAGTTTTGCGGACGGAAATTTGATTGAATAAACTATATTACATCAGCTCGTGCGGCATTCAGTGTTCAACTTTTTGTTCTTCCTAAGTTTCTTCAAATATATTTAGCAGTGACTATTTAGTTTATTAGTGAGATTATTACTAATCATATGTCGGCCTTGTCCAACCTTCGTCAACTTTTTTGATCGAGCACTTGCAGAAGCATCTTTCATGTTGAAACTTTCAACGAACGGATGCGACAGAACCATCTTCCAATAACGTATTTTGATCATAAGCAGAACAGATTTTATGGGCCTGGGCAGAATTTGTGCTTTCACCATAATAACATTACAGCGAATCTTTGCAGAAATTTATTTCATCTTTAATATGTCATATCTCAAGCATAAGTAAAGGCATGTCCACAACGTTTGCACGTCCGATATGACAAGCGTGTAAGATGTAACCGTTTAGGGAGAAAGACAGTCAATACGTTTTCGGCTACTCAGCGTATGCGGCCTCGAACGCAATGCAAGGTTGAACTCCAGCGTACCGGGACTTTCAACTTCGTACTGTTGACGTAGTATAAAAATCCCTAAAACTGCTATGGATTGTTCAATGCAGTTAGGCCTTGCGAATTGACCAATTCGTGAGTCGAACGTTACGTTGACCTGTTTAGCCTATCCCTTTAGCCCTACGCTTGCATTCGTTATCTGGCCAGATGACAGTTAATGATACTATGTAAGTATTATATGTCTATATTACTGCTGCTGTCTTTGTATTAATAGAGGTATTACGGGATTTAGAACATGATACCATTCGATACCAACTTGTTACAATGACTGCCATGATATATTAGCCTAACTACTGGCAAGATTATTAAGAACTAGGACAGATTGACTTGTCGTTGCGCCTCATTCAGGCTAGCAGCCGCATGCTGCAGTGAGCCGATTAGGCCACGATTTCCTAAGGCTTGCAAGAGTTTACCCTTTCTAAGTATATGTAGAGCTTTCCCAGTAAGCAGAAGACTGCGTCGATACTCTCCATAAATGTTAGAAAATGACCATCTTTGTTGGATTGGTTTACTTTTAACGTAAATAGAATACAGGTAGAAATTTGCTTACTACGAAGTGCAAAACGTGTCCTATTACTTTTTCTGGACCAGTTGACGCTGATTTTTTTTTTAAAGCTGATCTAATTTTTCTAAATTATAAACCTGTTCTTCTTAACCAGAAACCTATTTTATTCTTGTGAGTTATATTAAAGTTCGCTCTACTAGTGTGAAACAAAGGAAACCCTAATAAGCGATTAAAATAATATAATCTATACTATAAGAGATGGTCAACGATTCTTTTTTTGGGAATATGTTGGTAACCCTCCAGTTCGTTGGTAGTTTAGCAAACAGTGTGCACGCCTGTCACGCGGGAGGCGTGAGTTCGATTCCCCGTCGGGGAGTATCTGGTTTGGACAAATTTTTAATTGAAAAGTTGAAGCAAAAATTAGTTTAGATCAATTTATCTAATTCCCGTAAATCCACAGGTACTCTGGACATACAATACTACCATTATGCACATATTTACATACGTAATGGCACGGAACAAAACTACAACCAGTTGCCAAATTATTGTCGCACATTGTTTCTGAATATCTTGTTCGGCCTTTCATTCGACTTACATTCGTGTATGTAGAGCTTGAGTCCACGTGTCCGAACCCACATAAGGATCAGAAAGAGTAATAGCGGCCAGATAACCTCAATCGTTACTCGGAGCTTCTGCCTCGAATGACAGAGTCCATTCTTCCAAAGAAGAAGACGCAGCTGACCCCAAAACTTCATCGCCTTCGATGAGCGAGCCGTTTCGTCAAGAGTCAGCCGCTTGTTAGACGACCAGATTAGTTGTGTACCGCTACCGTCCCGGGCGCGACCCGCAGACGAGCACAGGGTTACCCTCTGAAAAAGATACAAAAAGAAACAGTAGCCAGATAGATAATTCACTGTTGTTGAGGCATTAAGTAGACACTGATAGAGTTCTGATGTCAACCCTTGCCATCGTCGTATGAGACGAGTGTTGAAATCGAGGAACTGAGAGTGACTATGCCTGTATGACAATGAACGTTCTCTGTCGTGTATAAGAAATTTGCTTTTTGCCGCTACGGATGTTCCAATTTGTTGATCATTGCTAAATTTGGAAATAACCAGAAATTATTTTTCACAGATCGGGTCGACCTATGACAAAACGACCACATCTGTCTAACCACATACTTTTATTACAGCTTAATTGCACAACTTAATATGCAATTTGAAATTCTAAACATTTGACCCGCTAATTTCTGGACCAATTCAACCATTTTCGCGTGCTATGTTACGCTGTATTACAAATTTAACTTCAAAAAATTAACTTAAATTTAACAATTCAAAAGTAAAAATTAAATAGACGTTCCTTAATAACTGCCGTTGAATCATACAATTTGCTTTTCGTTGAGGCCAGATTTTTTTCATAACAAGGCAGCGTAGATTTTGGTGACTTCACATGTAGAGGTGAAGAGATAGAAAAAGGAACGAATCGACTATTTGAAGGCAGAAATGGTTATTACCAGCTAACAGCGTATGCGACTAGTGGCAGAATTTAATATATCCTATAATAACACAACTGTTGTCTGCGATTTGCCACAAATGGTTTTGATAAAATAAGGGGACACACGGGTTCGAACCGGGGACCTCTCGATCTGCAGTCGAATGCTCTACCACTGAGCTATATCCCCTTGGTACAGTAGACACTCACGTACGCTATAGACGATTCATATGTCTAAGAAGGTGTCACCTAGTCGTCCGCGACTTTCTGCACATGGCGGGTAAAATTAGGCTGATTGTATTTAGTTGACTGGAATTACGCGAATATTATCGTATCATACGGACTCATCCATTCGCGGTGTACCTGTACTGTGCTAAATGAGGGCATTTTGTTGACTAAGCACAACTTTATATATACAGTATGTTATACAATGGCGGACGGTGTAGTTTTGTTGGAACAACGTCCTGCTCAGTGTCAACATAGTCACACAAACAGCTTTTTACCATGTTCACGCTCGCTCTTCCAGGCGGTAATAATGCCTGCCGCTTGAGGGGGTGATTTTAAATACAAAATTCGATTACCGTAGGAGCTGTTTTTTCGACCATGAAACGAAGGACAACATGGGATACTTTGTATGGTCTGTACGCTAGAGCTCCTGAGTTAGTCAATTCATTGGACTAGACAGCGAGGCCCCCATGCGGTGTACGCAAGGTAACTTCCCAAAAATCTTTTTTTTATACAGAGAACTTGAGGGATTTATCCGTAGCAGTTCTTAACAATTTATATAAAGCTAATACATCGAAAATCTACGACCTGCGTTTAGGAAAATTGCCTAAAGTTTAGTAAAGCGCCAAGAGTTAAGATGCAGTCGATGTTAACAGAGATTGTTCATGGTTCCGCTGCTCGTTACGCTCCCAGCCTGAAAAGCACTCACCGCTATTAAACTCGATGATTATGGAACTGTTAAGGCGAAACGACCTTATCTCACTTTGGTAAACACCTTGTACTAACTTGCGATTTGTGTATAAATACCAGCTCGCCATATATTTTCAGTTATTATGATGCGGTAACACTGTTTGTATATCATATATTATACGATAACATGCAGACACTTATATACAATCAATAAATAGTTTGGTATGCAAAAAAACTTAGTTTGTAAGAGAAAACTGTAGTCTGCCCCCGTTTGCGAAAACACCGATTTAACAATACTTTTATCTCCTGTCCTCTAAGCTAATACCGACGGTTAAAGTGTCGCACGTAAAGCGCAAAAAAGTGGAAGCGTTATACTATCAGAGGCCGTGAAGTGGTTCACACGCCGTTTGCCACTTCAACGATGACATCATGCAGCGCTCGGGTGCATGAGGGCCTAAACGACCTCATGAAAACAGTCTCCACATTTTCCAGATATTGTATCTAATGGGCGCCGTTATCGTTTGAGATCTGCACGTGTAAATGAGGACGTGTTAAGAAGCGTGCAGTTGGCGGTCAACAATAAACTATGACAGCAGTGGCTTACTGAACGTCATTTTTTATTGATGGAAATATAATTGTTGGTGCGTTATGATGTTATCTGTTTCGGGTTGTTTATACGGGTACAGACGAGCATGCGGGAAATGGGCCATGTTGAAATTTCAATAGAGCCATTAGTACCTTGCGATCAAGAGTCTATTTCAACGAATTACATAAATCAGATGTGTCATTTATTAAAATGAGCGCTTTGCCGGCAAATGTTCCATTTATCATCGAAGTTATGGTTTTTATCTGTTTATTTCAATCGAGACACAGGTTTATACGTTCGACGTCTAGAACGAGTAAGCACGGACGTCTATTCAATGTCTAACTGGTCAGCAGAGGAAGACACACTTTATCTGGTATCTCAGCGATTACTCGTGGCGTAACAAACTGGAAAAAACTACTGTTCTGATAAAAAAACACATGGCTATAAGGCCTCTTTGCGGATTTGTCGTTATAATATAGACTAGGCCCCGTCTCTTAATCTCGTGAATTGTAAAACTGCCCTAGAAATTACCAGCAATAATTCCCATTATCAGTCCATATTTTGCTGCGATTTTATGCTTTTTTTTAATTAAGCCTTACGTTTTTAAAGCCAACCTTAAACTATAGCGAGGGTGAGTCTGTTGATAGCTTACGATAGATATCTACGTGCATATAGTCACCAATTGGCCCTGAAAAGTCTATATCTGCGTTGGAAATCTATGTATGCTTGTGGTCGACACATAATGCAACAAAAAGATAACTTATCATCATCAATCAAAAAGGCAATATACCTTAGGCAATATGTAATAACATGTCACATGTGTGATAACTGATAAAACTATGTTCAAGTCTTCTTCAACTCCTGCTCATGCGTATCATTGTCGGTCAAATTAATGGTCGAGGTGGATCAAACTCCGGGTGAACACATTCTCTAATGCAAGTGAAAATTTACTGAAAAAATGTTAGTATTTTTTTAGGGAGGTCAGGCTCTGATGGATTATGTAAACTTTATCTCCAATAAGGCCGTATTTGCTTGGTACCGTGAAACTTTCACCTACTGAGTCCTAGGCCCTCTTTGTATGCTTGACCTTGGCCCGGGACTGGTTCACGATCACTTCGAACCGGGTATTATAATTAGTGTGTGTGATAATTAGTGTGTGATATATACATATCCGTAACCCGTTTCTCTCCATTTCTACTGTTTAACGAGGCTCTAATTACGGACAAAACATAGACAAGCTTTGCTGGCTAAAGTCTTTTAAAAACTCCTCTACTCATGAGGCATGGCTGCTTGCTTTCACATTAGTACTCAATGTGGTTGGTTACTATGCTTTTTTCATGTTAAGTTTTCGGCTGTTAATCTCATCCCTATGCGCATTTATTTCCTATTTCTCGCCTAGTCACGAGCTTCTGTAAAGGTTCCTGTTCTGTTAGATTGTTGGAGTCTGCGAGGCGTGACATTGCGATCGCAGCAGGGATTCAAGTTGAATCAACTTGCCGATACTGTGAGCTGCGCGTCTTATTAAGAGGCGGGCCGCACCTTGTTATGTGGGAAGCTTTTTCAAATACGGCGTGAACTTATGGTGCTTTAATATTAAAATTTTGGCATGTCAGACGTCTAGCACTATTACATCGGCAACGCCGGAATGGGTTCTGTGAAAGGAAAAGAGTTGTGATGTATTCGTCTTTTGTTTGCCCGGCATCTACAAGCGGTGTCGTGCAGAACCATTGTGACCTCAGACAAAAAGAGGACGCAATCCCAGGGGCTCTCGATCAAACCGCCGTTAATAGTCCAACGAACACAGCCAACGCGTCAGCCCGCCAGCCAAGCAACCTCGATAGGTAGCACGCTTCTTAGCGTTTTTTAAGACGTCCTGTCTGGTCGTTAGTAGAAGCACAGAATTAAAAAAAAATGCAAGACGTACTAAAGACTAAATCTCATGAGCGAATGATCGTCTCGAAGGACACGAGGTCGTCCCTCAGTCAAACGGAATAAACAGCGCCCAAAAACCTCCATCTTTGGTATCGACAGTTCCCGGGACTCCAAAATATATAGCGTGATGATTTTATTATGAACGATCTGCCAGGTGGAGTATAAAAAGAAAACTAGTAGATAGCTACAGAAGAAAAGAAGACGACTGAAGTTATTGCAACTAGGTAAAGGCCGCAGCGGACCCCGACACGGCACGTTGCTACAGCAAATAAGTAAGAGTAGTATTTAATTCGAAATCTTGGTGCTGCTTAGTTGGGTTAAGCCCTTACCACCTTAGAGGCAAGGGCTCTACTGGGCATAACGGCGCAGTGTCCATAAAACCCACGCGCAAAGTTTCACTCCTCATCGCTACACGCCGGCTCTGTTAAACTCAAAGTTATCTGTCGTAACCTGTGTGTTCCTACAACCGGTTTCTCTATCGATTAGGACTATAATTAAAACGATTTGAAATTTCGGAATACGCTCTGGGGTGCAGATCGAGTGTGCTTTGCTGAGCTAGTGCATGGAGAAATAAACATGCATGCTTTCCAGCGCGTCATCATTGGCGTGACGCTGGCATTAGCCCAGGCTACAGATTTGGATGGAGCCTGGTATGGACAACAGCATGAGACGGTGAAAGTTATTAACGAAGTTGTCTCAGTGCCACATCCAGTTCCTATTCCCAGTCCCTATCCAGTGCACAAGATCATTCCAGTGCCTCACGCGATTCACGTTCCGCATCCCGTGCCAGTTCCCAAACCCTATCCCGTAATCAAGAAGATTCCAAAAATCGTCACCGTACCGAAGATCATCCACGTGCATAAACACTACCCTCTAGCACACCATGTCCCAGTGCCGGTACCCATTCCAGTCTACAAGGATGCGCCATACCCAGTATACAAGCACGTACCGGTTCCAGTGACCCAACATGTTCCAGTGACCCAAAAAGTCCCCAAATATATCCCGCTGCCCGTACATAAAATCATTCATGTTCCACAGCCAGTAACCATTCCAGTCAAGGTGCCTGTCTTCAAAGAGGTCATAGTCAAGAAGCCGGTAGAGGTGCCGGTGCCGGTCTTCATCAAGAAGCATCATCACCATGGAGCCGATCACGGTCACAGCCACTACGGAGGACACTTTGAACACGGCTACAAAGCGTGAAAAAGCGCAGGGGTCATACAACCTACGTTCTGCCAAATGGTGCGCATTCAATGAGAGCTCGATGTGATAATAGCTGGCATGACGATTTTACTTCATCAACTTAATTGTACAATACATGGATTTTCATGCAAATCAAACTGTTTACGTCGTCTAGCGAGTGACTCCTTTTTACATCTAACCTACCTTCACGTCTCTTAGCACGTCACGAACCTCAGAAACCCGTATGTAGAAATTTCAAGCCGCCGATGCAAGCCAGATGCTAGTGGAACAAACATGTAAATAAGAAGAACGTGTATAAAGAAGATGAAGCTGGTTATCGAGGATTGGATCACATTCATCCGAGTAACAGATGATAATCATTTGTATCGGTATCTAAAATGCAGAAACGCTCGATGCCGGCTTTTTGTGTATGTGTATAATACCACAGTACTTGGAAGAGATGATGATGATGTCGATACGGCCTGATGCATACAATGCACATTACCCATTGCTTTGCGAGTTAGCTCAAGAATAGTTAAATATACCACGCCGATGACGATAATGTTGTAACTTAATAGATGTTGTGCTATAATACACACTACATAATGCACACACTCCAATGTATTCTATGAATATGTACACAGTTTGAAACTTTTTTTAGTTCCTAACTGTAACTTACAAAACTAGTATTAATGTGTCGTTCATCTAGATAATCGTTAGTTATTGATAATCTCCTTCAACATGCTACATTGCAAGGCTTGTGTACGTTGGTCAAATAGGTTCTATATATACACACACTCTGCTTATTTTGTAGTTTTCGAAACTTCCGAATCTAGAAACATGAAAAGTTACTGTAAGCTAAATCTGATAAACTCGAAGTCAACACTGTTAGAGCTTCCAATACCTAACTCTAAGTTAATTGCGATCGTTCACGGCAAGCATAGGATCTACAGGGTGCGTATAATTCTACGTATTTTCCTCTTCATGCCATAAATATGTACCATATTTGTACGAGACACTTTTTTTGCGTAATGAAAATAACCTAGGTGAGTCAGGACGAACCATCGATCTGTGGGCGTCACCCATGGAGTAGCGTTACTTTACACAGCTTCGGGTAGCGTTACGAAGTGCAAGGATATCGGCCGATTAACAGGATCTGCCCGTGTGATTACAGCAACAAATGGCGGAGCCTTTTTCGATATCAGTTTACGCGAACACTTCCATTCGGCGTCATGCACAATATATATTGCCGCACCTACTGCCATGACTGCCACTGCTGCCGAAATAGTCGGTACGATTACCGAAGGTCTCTTGCTGTTAACGACGATTTGATTGCCGCAAAAATGGCTTCGCATCACTGCTATATCAAGTGGTTTCGTCCGACAGTTTAATCGTAGATGGGGGTAGTCAGAGACAGCCGTTATCCTTTAAAGATGACTGGCCAGTCAACGCACCCTGCGTTAACAAAAGTCGCTTTGTGCCTACCCACAAGCAGAACGGATATTTAACCATTGGAAGCGGCAAGGACCTGAGCGCGTGGCGACTTCGGGTAGATGCCCAGACAGACGGCATTAGAAAGGGCCACAATTGCTAATAAGCTTCCGTGTTGTGTCAACCAGCAATAGACACTTGCGGGCCTTGCAGAGGTGATGAAAGTTATGTACGATTAAATTCGAGTAAGTTCGGGTGGCTGTGGCAGTTGCCAGAGCACCGTGATGCCTGCCAGTAGAGATCACTTATACGGAAAATGCCGACAAAGAGCGTCGTGCTGTAAAACAACGCAACTCAAATACCCGATGGTAACTGCGAAACTTTAACTTTTGTCATTACACAATTTTTTTGTTGCTGACCCTCCCGCAGTCTGTTTGCCTTCGACCGCTACTGATGATCGTGGAACACAGCACAACGTTACCTACGATACGTGCCCCTTTCAGGTGGGCTAGTGGTCAATGGCCAGCGGTTAGCGGCACGCGGCGGTCACGATCGTTGTGGAGCATCGCTGAGGCACCTTATAGAATGCTACAGTCGCTAGTTATGACAAGCGGCAATACCAGTGGGTCTTGTCGCATTGAATATTATCGAGCTGTACCTATTTACTAGGCAATTATATGTAATGTACACGTCTTGACCCAATGTTCCATGTAGAAAGCTAGCAGAGCAATGCCGAATTCGAAACATAGTTAAAAAAGGAAACTGTTCCCATAGATGGCTGCTAAGATCTTCAACTGCCAGCAACACTACAATATAAATGCGTATGTCGTCAGTGGTTAGAGCGCAACGGTCTATAACTCGCTATGTCGGTAACATTTGGATTTCTAGTGGATGGTCTGTCATTCTGCATGTTACAAATAGACGCCGTAGGTTGATAATCGGCAGGATGCTGTCTCGTGCATGATTTCCTGATGCTGACGGACGCGATGTAAAAATGACAATATTCTACCTAGGAAAACAACAAATTAGATAATATGCAATGCTGAATAGATACGTTTGATGCCAAGGAAAGGGATTCAGTGTTGGCCTGACCGATGAGTAGGTCGCACATCTACTTTCAGCAGACAGTACAAACGGTAATCAGAACTGAAATCGTAATATTTTTAGGTCGTTCGAAGAAGAGTAGGAACGGAAGTGGCCACCCGCAGTGATTAACGATAATTGCAAACGAGCGTAAACGGCGAACAATTATTCGAAATATTACTACCAAACGATAAATTGAGCCTAGTTTTTAGCTGTATATTCAGTTTGAAATTAACTAGAAAAATTATGGGGGTGCCCCAGACGATACCGACGGATAAGAAGATGTAGCAGAAAATAAGCAAAACTTCTGGAGACTGGTGAACGCACGCTACCATGATTCTACGCTGCAATCCAGATACGATCAATGTGGGTCGAGGATTCGAGTCCGACAGTTTGACATACCGGCATTGCCGTATGGATGAACATGACGGTGTACCATGTGTTATTTCTTTAGTTAAACGTTTTCTCAGTCAAAGCTTTTACTGTCCAGACGGCCATGCATTTTCTAGTGCCTACTGCTGATACACTCATTCTATCCCTATTACGCCTATGCAACAACTACTGAAGAGTGCTGATAACAAACAGATAGGAGAATGGAAATCTAGAGCGAAGTGCTAAGACCGAATAATTATACCATAATATGGTTAGCTTGTCAAGGACAAAACATCATCGCATTTTCGTCGAAATCGATTTTTGGACAAAAAAAAACCTAGCATTCAAATTGCTGGAAACGTAACCAGTGATTGGCCAAAAATCACAGTCATTTTCAGGGCGTGACCTATAAGGCCTAACTCTAGAGAATTTCACACGATCATAGTGCACTGAAATTTTTGTACTCAAACAGATCTTATTAGCTTGCCGTGGAAATACTTTATATCGTGCTTGAGACTAATCATCTAAAACAGTACTTAACGGCGATACCGAGCCGGGTACATATATTTCTTGATTCATTCCAGCATATGCTTAATCCGAGTTGAACGACTGCGACAATTCATTCTTTTTGTTTTTTATCTCTTGCTTCCAATACAAATCGAAGTATCCATTTTAGAGGTGGCAATTGTACGTTGACAATTTGTTTACCAATCACACAGCAAGAAATCTGAAGGACCTGTGGAAGCGGAAACGCTGGTTGACAAGCAAATCAACAAGAGTAAAAAACAATTGTAGTTGTTTATCCTTAACAGGAATGCACAAATTCGCACACAAATTAAGTGTAACTTCGAGCATTACAAACAAGAGGCTTGTTATAAATTTATTACACGCTGAAAAATCGTCAAACCTTTCATTCATATAGCTTTTCAGGGATCTGTCAGACGCAGAACATGCCACATCTTCCAAACCAAGAATTTTTTTGTATTTCAAAATGTTGCCGCTTTCTGTGAACACCCCATTTTCCTACCCACCCTCAAAACATAATCCCCCCCTGTACCCGTCTTAATGGTCTAGCGCTACCATCAGCTGTAGCCTCAAAGGACTAATAGGGGACAATTCTGTAATGCGCAATGTGGTAATATCCTATCAATCGGATTGTTGCCATTCCACGTCGTCGATGGTCGCACTGGTGGTGGCGTCCGATGTCACGACTAAATAACGCTCTTACAAAACCCCTCCGCTAGCCCCCGCCATCCCGTTCCCACAGTCGACAAAAATGGCAAATAGTAACTAGTGTTCATAGGCTGATAGGGAGCAGGCATGTGCGAGCGCGATCTGTTTGGAAATCACCACACAATGACGGTAGCAGAAACATCCCAATAAAATTCGGGTAATTTTATCACTTATTCTATTATCGGTGCTTGCTGGAATAACAGCAATAAATCATCAAAGTAGGCCAACTTCAGATCAGCTTCAAGTAAGCCAGCCCCTGATAACCTGGCAACGTCTGTTGCTGTCCTGGCTTTGATTGAGTTATGTTTTTATTAGTTCATTTGTAGTATACCAATAGTAACTGTAATGATGTAGTAGTAGCGGGGGGCGGCAGTCGCCGCTAGTCCTGGTTAGACAACGGTACTAGCCAATGAATAGGGGGGTGGTAACGATACGCAGGAACTGGTGTCACGAACTATTGCAGCAAGTTGACCTGTTTATTTGGAATCAAGTACAACACTAACGGCTACGAGCTGTAAGAGCAATCGGAAGGTCATAGTTGTAAAAAGGAAAATCGTCAACAACAGGACCGTCGATGGAAGAGAAGGACGATCTTTCGCTAACCGGATTTGATGAATTACTCGTTTGTCGGATTCCTTCGTCTTCGCTTGACATCAGTTAGTATTCCAATGCCACTGCACAGGGGCATTGTAGATGTGTAACAGCGTGCCAAGCAGAAATTCTAGGTATAAAACTATGGTAAAAGGTAAAGTATCGATAATGAAAGCTAGAGCCGAATGGAGCAACAGCTGAACCCTAATTCGATTAGAATACGCTTTTATTATGTCACTTATGAGGTCTCACAATGGTAAAAACATATTGACGATGCGGCCAGAATAATTCACCACGTCCGCTACGTAAAGCACTGTGTGTAACACTAGCAAGAGCGTACACCACCTTCATCCCTCTAACAAGATTCGTTTCGAGCTAGAAGAGACGCCGATTTTGTCCACTAGTTTTCGATATCAGAATGCTGTGTTCTTTTGGCACCTTCATCAGTGGGGCACTAGTAGGCGAGTACATTGACAAAAAAAAACTCACTAGCAGATTCATAAGTTGGTTTTTTTCTTTTTTGTATTATTAACCATTAATCTGTGCAAACAAATAATGCACATTGAGGATTTAGAATCTAGCTAAAGTCTAGAAGAATGATTTCTGCAGATTTGATTGTTATGAACAGTTCCTAGTGTTGTACACCTTTTTCTCTGAATAGAAGCATTTTGTTCGTCGTTGAAGATTGGCGTAAAGGACGGGCCTTATGGTACCGTAATTTTGTACGAAAAATGATTCACAGTTCAACAACAGGCATAAATTGTCTGCATATACGTTGAGATACGTTATTT